TGTGTGTGTGTGTGTGTGTGTGTGTGTGTGTGTGTGTGTGTGTGTGTGTGTGTGTGTGTGTGTGTGATCAAGGCATTCCTTGTCATCAGTGTTCCCCTCTAGAGCTTGGTGTGTGGGCTCTAAGTGGGATCTTTGGGCAGGAGTGTGGGTCATTAGAGCTTCCACGCTCATATGAAAGCACATCTGCTAAAGAATAACAAGGGCAGGGCCAACGGATCCAAGGGCTACTTAAATATTTGCTCAGTGACAGTGGTCAGAAGTGTCACATTAGAAGGATAAATAGTAATTAAAGGGAGACTAGGCAGCTTTTACTTGCTTTCAGCACTCCCTAGTGTCCGTTTATAGAACTGAAAGCAAAACATATCTCCTCGCCTCACCTAATCTAACTGCTGAAATGTCTCCCCATTCTTTATTAGTGTCTACAGGAGTTAATCATCACTGAATTAAACAAATCAGGTGTGTTCATGATCTAAAACCTGCAGAAAACATGCTAGAACCAGACTGCAGCACCAGGTGTGTCAGCTCAATGTTTTCTAAGTCCCAACTGAGCAGACGGGCACTCTGAAGTTGCAAGTGGAATATTCTGGCCAGAATACAAACAGAAATGGTTCATCATGTTGTGTAAATCCCGTCCACAAAAGGGGTTCAAGTGCAGCTAACAGGTCAAACAAAACTCAAAAACAACTGCATCTTTCTCCAATTTATTTTTATCTAGAGAGTTTTCTGTCAAATGAAACCAAGATAATCACAACAAAGACCTGAGCATTTTTTTACAGTGTGGATATTTGCTCTGAAGAAGTAAACAACAAAATACCTGAAAACCCTCCACAAATATGTACATGTTTACAGTCTGAGGACAGAAACCTACCTTAGACTATTGTTATCACAACATTTGCTTTGTTTAGTTTCTAACATCAGCCAAGCTATGGGACTCCATTTTAAAAGTAATGTTAGAATGTGGAAAATATTTATTTATTTATTTATTTGTTTGTTTATTTATTTATGTATTTATTTAATCATTTATTTTTATTTATTTTACCATTTTTAACAGAGACTACAAAAGTTTTGTAGCAGTAGATTATAACAGAAATCGAATTCCACTAAAACAAACAAAAACAAAACAACTGCTCGTTTATCTCTGAGTGACTTTCTCTGAGCTTGTCGGTCCTCTGGCAGATGGAGTGTCCGGGGGAGCATTGCTGCTTTGAATTGGCGGATTTAAATATGAGGGCAGAAATAAAAACAAACTGAACAATTCTTTCTTCAGAATGGGGATGAAGGTGGGTTTGTCCATAAAAACACGTCAGCCATGGGGCATCGTGCTTAGTGAGAACACTGATACTTCCTCTTCTTTGTCAGGATGAAGCTGCAGCAAGCATAAAAAAGTTACGTGACATCTCATCTGTTTTTAATCTGCAGAAATCTGTAAATCCTTGGTTTTATTGTGTAAAATGATTTCAAGGTGTGGGGCAGCCGATACGTTAGTGAGGAGGAGGAAAGGACCTTGTGAGTTCATGACAAGACATGAAGAGAAACTCTGATTTGCTGCTTCGTGGCTCAAGACAAACAGCTAAGTCTGATCAAACTAGCTGTTTACAAGTTTGCGACGCTCCAGCAGGGATCTGGAGGTTAATCTATGTCTCAAGAGTTGGCATTAAAAATGTAGAATTAAACCCAAGTTGGTGTTTTGATATCAGAAAATTGTTACGTACATTTCATTCAAAATGAGACAAGAGGAAAGTTTAAGACCTTCATTGTTTTTGTGTTTCAAAGTATATAAAACAAATGTTCACACACAGGGCTGCGCAGTGGTGCAGTGGTTAGAGCTGTTTCCTTGCTGCAAGAAGGTCCTGGGTTCGCTTCCCGGCTTGGGATCTTTCTGCATGGAGTTAGCATGTTCTCCCTGTGCATGCGTGGGTTCTCTCCGGGTACTCCGGCTTCCTCCCACAGTCCAAAAACGTGTGTGTGTGTGTGTGTGTGTGTGTGCACGGTTGTTTGTGCTGTGTGTCTCTGTGTTGCCCTGCGATGGACTGGCTCTCTGTCCAGGGTGTACCCATCGACATATAAATATTGAACAATGGGTTTCCATAGACTCCAATAACACGTTTTGGAAGTTAAATGGGAGGTGGCCACCACCGCCATTTTGACCGTGTCACAGGTTCCGTCAAGCCCAGAAAATTCCATAAAAGGGAAGAGAGGTGGAGCTGAGGGTGGGGCTGTAAGGCTGGGATCAACTGAAGACACCCGGTCGAACTAGCTACAAGCTAACCTGAAGCTAACCCAAAGCTAACGCGGAGGTGGGAGCTAAGCTAACAGAGGTAGCAACCTAGCTACAACCGGAGTTAACTGTGCACAACACCAGAGCTTCTGAGTCAGAGATACGCCGGGCTGACTGCTGGGTAAAACCTGGTGGAACACAGAGGTCTCCGAGACCTCCACAAGCCGGCAGCCGCACAGCAGACAGAAGCCGCGATCAGACAGAGATGCACCGAGCTGCGGGGAGGGGAGAAACGGGTGGAAAACATCGGTCTCCCGAGAGCTCCACAAGCCGATAGTGGGAACCCAGCTCCACCAACATGTTATATTTCAACCCATTTTCTAAAGTGCAGCATTATGTTAAATGCACTGCGTTTTACCCTATTACATTTAAACTTCATGGTTAAACAGTACATGTTAAAATCTAAGCTCAGCTCGGCAGTGACCTAAAATACATAAATATAATTTTACTTACAGAAAAAAATGAAGTGGAGACTCCTTGGACGCTCTATTAGTGCAATTAATGCCACAGCAAGTCATTTTGTCCAACAATTGCACAAAAAATATCCAAACAAGAATACACAAACACAGAGACTCAAAATCCCGGAACAGTTTCCAAGCCAGACCGAGGCTCTACTGAGGCCTTTCCACAGAGCTAGCTCTGTGGTCACGTGGGTCTGATGCTCATTAATTATACAGAATTTTAGGCTTTTAATACACTTAAACAGAAGAGTGAGAAAAAAAATTCACCCCTCTCAGAGTTGTCATGAGTGTAAACTAGACAATTTAAACCAAAAACATGTTTTGGTACCAGGCTGTAAACATGTTTATTTCTGCTGTGAAATTGGTATTTTTAACATGGGAGTCAATGAGGATTTGCTCGCTTCTGAAACCAGCCCCTAGCGGATGAGGGTGGAACTGCAATTTATGTCACTTCCAGGATTGCTTCAATTTTTCACCCGCATTGTGGGGGCTTGGGTGTACCCCGCCTGATTGCCCGTTGACCGCTGGAGATAGGCACCCCCCCGCGCGCGACCGTACGTGGACGAAGCGGGTTCAGACAAAGAATGGATGAATGGATGTTCACACACACACACACACACACACACACGCACACACGCACCAGTGGCATCTTTTCCTCTCTGTTTGCATATTCGAGCCCCGAGGATTCGGACCGACTGTGACAGCTGAGGAAGAGTTCAAGTTTGGGGCAGAGAGGTCCATGCCACACCCACCACCGTCCAGCAGACCAGATCAGTGTTGAGTTCCAGAACAGGTGCCCTTCAATATTTGACTCATTCACTCAAACACTTTAGTGGTTTAAATGGCTGATCTGTAATGTGGACTTCCAACCCTGAGACTCCTGCTGCCTACATGCACACGTGCACACACACATGCATACGTGCACACACACTCAGGCTCCACAGAGGACTTTTTACTATCTAGAACATCTGTGGTCCTCCCTGAGAACTCAGAGATGTATGAGGCATCATATATTTGTGTTATGGCAGCATGTAAATGAGCTAATAATGCAACTGAGTTATTATGCCTCTGACTGTGTGGGTTCATAATATTATGATAGTGAAAAATATTCAGGCAGCATGAAGCTGCAGTGAAGCGGGCTGAATTCATCCATCTGTGTTGTTTATTCATATGTATTTCATACTTTTGATATGAGAAAAAAAGTTCTTTATGTTCAATCACTTGTTTTACCTCCAACACAATATTTTGCCCATTATTTCTAGATGCTCTTTTGTTGTAAACAAACTTATTATGGTTTTTATCTAGTCCTGATAAAAAAGTGAAATTAAATAAACTTTATTTATAAAAACACCTAAAACAACAAGTCTATAAACAATTGATTAATAAATCTTCTTCTTCTTCTTCTTCTTCTTCTTCTTCTTCTTCTTCTTCTTCTTCTTCTTCTTCTTCTTCTTCTTCTTCTTCTTCTTCTTCTTCTTCCTACATTATTATTATCATCATCACAGAAATCTACCATTATAATTAATAATAAAGTATTTTTTAAAAATCCTCCAAAAGCTGAGTTAAAAACATTTCCTGTCCTAAAAAAACAAACATTTTAATTTTCTTACTTCTAAAATATTTATTTTCATATTTGTGTGACATAATATTCATTTTTTAATTGAGTTACATTTTTAGGAAACTTTTAAGATTTTATCCACTTTTTATTTTATTTTATTTTTACAAAATATAAATTAAACGTTAAATCCAGCAACATTTTAAGGCTACACTGCCCTCCTCTGGTCAGATAGCATAATTACAAAAAGAGGCACACGTAAAAGTGAACTGGAGGACCAACGAGGGAAGAAAAATATGAAGTTAAAAGTGAAAAGTTTGTTTTGGTTATTAGTAAGTTATTTTTAAGTACTTCTACATAAAATTATAAATGTATTAACCTTTTGACCCGTGCTGTGAGTTATTTTAAATGTTTTGTGTAATGAGAGGATTTGCATTAGAAATATAACAACTAAAAGACTCAAACAGCTGCTCCTGGATAACTTTGAGTTGGAAAACGGCGCAAGAACACAAGATTCCTGGAATAAGGAAGTGACTCCACCTGGAAGAGGTGAGGGAGTGGCCACCTGCCACCTCTCCTGCTGCTGACAGTCCGTGTGAGAGACGACCTGCTCGACCTCAACTTCTCTGGAGTTTTAATCAACTTTCTTCTTCACAGACAAGGAGTACGGTCAGAATCAGGTAGGAATCCAGATGTTCTGATGACTCAGTAAGGTCCTGTTCAGGTGAATTATATCAGTTTATAACTCAAACAGGGTTTATGCATCCAGTTATTGGACTTTGGGAGTCCGGATATCTGGTTTACCCATTCCATTCTTATTTGTTTTTTGTGCAGTCAGTGGTTATTCTAACGGGGCGGTGAAACACCGTGTTCTGTTTTCTGAGAACTGTGTTTAGTTGTAAAGCGTGTCTGTGCAGGTGAGGAGCAGCCAGCCACATTCCAGCGCCTCGGGTCACATTGGTGAGCTGTAGACTCTCACAGTCACAAGTCTTTTATTAAAGGGGAACATGAGAGGTCACAAAACAAGCTTGATGATGACTAGTGAATCTGGTCATAACAGCACTGTTGGAACGAAGAACGCCTGACTCCAGATCTGTTTGCTGCTGATCCTGGTGCAGACACGCTGCATGTCCTGACAGATTTACCCTGAACAGCTCTCCCAAGAAAACAGGCCGAAAGCTGGATTTATTCTCCTAAATGCAGGAAGTTGTTGGAATTTAGAATAAAAAAAAACAACCAAAAGCAATTCGAAAAGGGATTCGAGTTGTGATGTATTACTGTCTTTCTGTTTATGTTCATTTCCTTTTTCCTCAAGTGCAGTTTTGTTTTAAAGATGTGTCCCTTCCTTTGTCCCCCTCCGGGAATTCCACCTCCAGCCATCACAAATGTGTTATTCCCAGTCTCTACCCGAAAGCACAGCCTATGTTTCTCCAAGGATCTATTACCTCTACAACTTGTCTGAGTAATAAATAATCCCTCTCATTGTCCCGCTGAAGCCTCCATTGTGGCGACGTGTTGAAAGAGTTGCTTCACGACAATAAAAAGGCTCTCAATGGGAATTATTCGTTAGCATAACAACTCAAGTGCCAGCTAGACAGCGCTGAGGCTGCAATGCTGTGTGCCTGGCATGCGCATAGAAAAAAAAATAGTCAGACTGAGCTGTTTTCTAGACTTTTGTTGTTAATTCAACAAGTTTTTGCTTCAAATTTTAGTTTTCTTTTAAACGTGTGGAACACTGAAAAAGCATTTTTTATTGATTATAATCGGTCACTCAGAGTTTTTAATGCAGGTTGAGCATGAAAATAGTCTTCTACACCTATCTCCTGCGTTAGCTTCTGAAAATCCAGAGAGATCTACGTCACACTGTCACTTCACAGTCATGGACTCGCCCATCTTGACTCACGATGGGGGAAGGCTGGTGTTGTTGTAGCGTCCAGGAAACAGCATGGAATGTCTCAGCTAGCAGGAGCTAACTGTTAGCATTAGCAACTCAACCACACGGCAGAAGTTCCTCCAGGTTTGTATGGAGATAAAACATCAACGTTGCAGAGCAAACAGTTAGTGGTAGAGTCGTGTGGCTTTTATCCAGTCTGAGGCGAGATGACCAAATATCAGGAACAAGACTCCAAATCCTGCCGTCTGCTGCTCTCTGGCCCAATCCCAGTACTCGAATTGCGCCCTACCGTCTTCTGTGAAGTGCACTTGGAGGGAGTGCGCAGTAAGTGCTGGGATGCTGTTCGTTGTGCTACTTTATTTAAAAACCTTTGTTAACAACTTTCAAACAAACAACCAGACATACGTTTGAAATAAATTTACATTCATTGCTGCTTTGTCTAAAACAATCAGCACATCAACTAATCATCCTAGAATGAGCTATTTTAATTTGAAAATACATATTTTCAGAAAAGGCACTTGAACCTTTTCTCCTGCAGCAATGCATTGTGGGTAATGACCACCTCAGGCAAAGTGCGGATTGAGGGTAGGGACGGGATCAACTTGAGAATCAGGACACCCTACACACTCACACCCCTAGCCATGATTGTGAAACTGAAGGTCTCAAGTGTGGAAGTACAAGTATTGCTGCAGCAGACTTGTCCATGCTGATCCAAGCGCTTCTGGGCTTTTTTCCCCTGAGTATGACTTGTAAGGCATTTATTGCTACCGGAGACCACTGCAAAGTACCGATTAAGTGTTCAACGTCTTTAAATTTCTAGTGAAAATAAAAACAGTGTCTGTTGGTGACTGGATCAGTTTGTGACTACATTGCATAAATCCACAGTGCTTTTAAAGCATCTTGACCAGAAACTCCTAATGGGTTTAAAGGTAAGGCGGAGGATGTTTCTGAAAGAAGCTCCCTCTCCATGTTTTGGAAAAAAATGCGTGTGAGAGAGAACGCCCAGTAATCCTCGTGCACGTTCTGTTTACAAGTAGCTGCTAGTCTTGCAGCTAACAACTTTTAGCAGTAATCTGAAATTAATTTCTCCAGATAGTATGCAGAACCTTAGCTTACCTGTTGAGCAGAAAACCGGCGACAGAGGTGTCGGTGGGGAACCCAACCTTCGCTTTGCACATGCGCAGGAAGTGAAAACTACCCAGCAACGAGCACGTATGACGACGGCGTTGCGTGAATGGTTGGGCAGAATGATTGACAGTTATGTGGCCCAATGGTTCAGATGATCCTCTGCTAAACCTTTAATAATTCAGGGTTTCATTATTTCAGACTAACAGCTCCTGATTTGTGTACAAAATATACTTTTGAATATATTAAGTCTCCTTGTTTACGTGTGGCTTCTGAGTCTTTATTGTGGGCACATGTCCAGCCTCCATCAGGCATAAATCTGTGTAAGGTTTTTAAAACGATTTCCTGCTCCTGTCAGGCCTCCCACACCCAGGTTTGGGTGTCCACACTTCACACTCGTCTTCTTCCCCTCTACTTCCTACTCCCTATCTATCTACACGCACTAGTGCACATAAACACACCCACACAATCCTGCTGGGGAATTTGTGGCCTCAAGCTAACAAAACACAAGCTAACAGCAGTCGGAAGGCCCCGAGAGAAAGGAACGCTGCTCCTGACAGTGATCTAACAGCATGGAGCTTCTGTTCCCTTATTTAAAAGGCCTTCTTCTCATGAGCAGCATTGTCAGGTGGGTTTATATTTCTGCAGGAAGCTTTTAAACCGTAACTCCTTATCTGCTAATGGAACATGGCTTTTATTGATTTCCTTCTGTTCTTGTTCTTGTCTGTTACCTGCAAGAGTTCAGTAAAAGTGTGTCAGCTGCTTTAACAGGTGAACAAAACTACAGCAGACAGTTTAAAGTTTTATGATCCTTTTGTAGTCACCAGCCGTAGTCGCGTTTGTTTAAACCAGGTGGGAGGGCATGCATTTCTCATGAGAAGAGCAAAGAATGCTGGGAAGTCCTTGCTGTAAGAAATAAAAGGTGAAAATCTGAGAAGCTGAGAGGCTCAAGCTCTTCTGAGGAAAGAGATCGTAATATCGTGAAAAATTCACCAGTTATTGATTAAATGTAGACTTTTTCTTTAAATATATTATGTCAGAGAAAAAAAGGATTCTTCGATCACCAGTTTCTGAGAATAATTTTAACATGCATGATGTTTTGTTTAACCCTTTAGGCCTTAGGCCTTTTTTCTTTGGGCCCTGGCGCCTCTCAATTGGGGGCCTTTGGAGTTTCATGTCCCAAGTGTCGGTGATGGTTTGCATTCCCCGAGCTCAGCTACAGTTACAATCAAACCTGTTTAGATTGTAAACAAAGCAATTTTTGGTTTTTGATAAATTAAGATAAAATAATACTTGAACTTTATTTTAGAAGAGCTGACCTGAGTGAAAGTGCTGACAGGATGGAGGTTGTGAGTTCAAATTCCATTTAGGAAATTTAGTCAATTGTTTTATTTATTCCAGGGGTCCTCAACTAAATTTGTTCAAGCTTTTTTTTCCCCAGCAGACACCAGAGAAGGCCAGATGCTCTTCTAAAATAAAGTTCAATCATCATTGTATCTTAATTTATTACAATTTAAAATGTCCTTGTTTTCCATCTGGGCTGTTTGATTGTGGGTTTAGTTGTGTTTGGAGAATGTGGACAGTTGTAGATGTTTGGGACATGAAACTGTAGAGACCTAGCCTGGCAAGCCAGACTGAATAAATGTATTATTTAGTCTGGCAACGCTCCATTGACGGCTCTCGGTTGTGGGGCGGGTTCTACCGTTGTCATTCAAATGATCTCCGCATTCCACTGGACAATGAATGTGACATACTCACCGCAACAGCTGTCGGTAAATGAGGCGGTCCACAGTTGAAGAAGGAGAAAACACATCATTTTTTCTTCATAAAAAAAGCACTTAAATACATCTATCTGCTCCTGATTCTAATGAAGCCCAAGTTCTAATAGTCCAAAATTGAAAAATTGTAAAAGCCGTTTCAAACGAGCTGTCTCCATCTTGTTTCACTCTTGCATCATCCCACCCACCAGGCATATAGAGTGCCCTGATTGGCCCACAAAGTGGATAAAGTTCTGTGATTTGTTCACTAAGCAGATAGAGCACTATGATTGGTCCACCATTATGGACCAAATCACAGCTCTTTATGTGTTTGAAACCCCTCTAGAGAGCTGTGATCGGCCAGCCAGAATGCTGTTAGGGGCTGCAGAGGTTCCAGTGGAGCGTTCCTAGACTTTTGCAAAGCAAGAATTTGGTCTAGTTCACTAGGCTAGTAGAGACCCCCAATTGGGGGGCATTAGGGTAAACAGGCTAATCATAGAATTTTTAAGCCTAGCAGATCAAGAGTCCAAAATGGTTTAATTTTCTCTTTTGCTGCTTTTTATACAGTCAGTGCAGAAAAAAGTCACACTTTATAAAGTCAATCATGCAAATAAAACATCTTTTATAAGAGTACACATAGAAATAGGTGAGACCCTCAGCCGCAGAGCAGTAAAGAAAGCTTATGATAGCGTTGGTTAGGCACCGATTCTGCTTTTGAGAACCGATACCGATTTGATCTGTTTCTCATTGGTCTTGCACTGTAAAAAAAAAAAAAAAAGAAAAAAAAGAGAAGAAATACCAAAAAACGACCCGATGAAAGTAAAATTCTTGATTTTCTAGACAATACCTTCAGCAGTGATGACCTGTTATTTAATATGGATGTTTTATATCCAAAATACCAATGTAACTTAAGTTCTGATAACTAAATTACTTTAGGTAACTAACATGACAAATCTCCTATCACACATGTTAAACTTCAAGCAATATCTGTGCATAATATGACAACATTAATTTAAGTTAGGCCAGTTGTGCCAAACAAACAAAAACATTTCAAAAACTAAACCTCAGATCAGTCATAGTTCGTCATTCTGAGTAGGAGAAGAAGAAACTAAGGAGTTTGCTGTATAGCAAAAGCATGGTGTGTAAAGATTGTGTGATAAAAACAGTAAGAAATCAATACTGATCATTTACAATATTACATTTAAATGAGAAAAGTGTTCATTAATAATGGTAGGCCGATAATAGGGTACATAAAGCAGCACTCAGCCATGGTGAGTTCACAGACTGGGAGGAAAAGTCAGAGTTTTAAACTTTCTGCTGAGTTTACGTTGAATTTTAACTGATCAACGATCAAGCCGATCATGCTTAAAATTGGCCGATTCTGATCTTGAGGTGTTTTTTTTTTTTTTTTTTTTGGTGAGTCTCTATTCCAGGACATAAACAAAAAAGTGTTACGAGTTATAAAAGACTGATATTGCAGGAAAAAAATGACTAATTATTATTTAAACTGTACTTAAAGTGAAATGTGAAGTATGTTATCATCTCAAAAACGAACTCTCAGCCAAAGCTAGGACTAGCAAAGCCCTTAATCTGTGTGCTAGGCTAAAGAGGTGCTAACTGAACAAAATATTTTCTTAGAAACTTTTTTTTTCAGAACAAAAATTCATCTTTGTGCTGCTTTCTGTCTCCTTCTGTAGTAAAATCAAAGCTACAAGCACCAGCTGATTATAGCTTGTGATAAACGCTAATGCTTCTGCAATGCAATTCAAGGATTTGTGTTGTGAAATGTCTGTTACACCTGAATTATACGGGCCCTGATTTTCTTTGGTGAGTTACACACAGTCTTTTTGCATTGCTACATCTCTGCTTGATGCAACTTGCAGGCCCAGAAGTATGGAAAGAATGTAATCTGCAGAAATCAACCATTGTGAATCATCACAGCCACATGGCACAAGATCACAGGGCGATTAGCGTGAAGCGTAGCATGACTGCAGCATTGTAACAGAACAAAGTGTCTGGGGTATTTATAGTCGGGGATGTCATTTTTGCATTTAAAATATGTCAGGGTTTAAGTTTTTAAGTAAGCACAATTCATATACTTCCTTTTAATTCAAGTTTTTTTGTTCAGTTTTCATTAATGAGGAGGATATGGTGACGCCAACCCGACCGTGACGATGTACGAGGTGATGTCCGGTGACACCCTTGCCTGGAAGGTGCCCACTCCAAAACAAAGTAGCCAAGAGGCCAACCCTGAAGGGCAGCTCGTTGGGGAAGGAGGGCCAGTAAAAATCCTCAAAGTGTGCTTCTGCAACAGCAGCCATCTGGGGAAAAACTTTAAACTGGTCAAATGTGACAGCTCTTGGAAAATCCGGGTGAGGACACGGAAATGAAGATGCGATTGAAGCCTTTTGTTGCTTGAGTTACAAATACATAGAAACCTGTAGAATAAAGAATATTTCATTTGATTTTATTAGGCTGCTGGAAATAAAAACAACTTATAACAGTCTGGGATGTCTAGAGGAAAAGATCCCACTTGGAGATCAGTTATTGGAAATCAATTGCTTGATGCACAATGTTAAAAATACTCAATTTTATTGATAAGATAAATTCCAACCACAAATGTCCATAAATGATTAAAAACCTATAAAATAATCTATACTAAACACTTTCTCTTTTTAACTTCCTCAGGCCGTCATTCATTCCATACTGATCAGCGGCCGTCTGGGACCAAAAGTTGAGTTAACAAAATGCTACGGTCTTATGTTGAAGCACTTAAAGTCAGAAGAACTACACTGGCTCCATCCAGATCTGACTGTTGGCGAGGTGGAGCAGCGTTATGAGAGACTCCATGTGGAGGCCGAGTGGAGGTACAGATTCGGTATTAGCCCTTTCAGTTCTGATCCATTAAAAGTGGGATTTGTGGACATTTTTGCCACCATGCTAGAAATTCCCTCCATATGTGGCAACCAATAAACTAAATGATAATAAAAAAATTGTTTTAATCACCTCTGAAAGGTGAAATGTTGAAAAAATGTTATCCAAATCTTGTCGCATGTTAGGAATTATGGCAGAACAGGTACCAACAATAGGTAAAATAAAAAAAAAAGGTAACATGATGTCATTAAGATGGCTTGATAGTATCTGTTGCATCTGGGTGGTGTTATATGGTTTTCTGTGACTCTAGGGAGGAGCCTGAAGATAAGGGGATTAAACCTAAGAACATTTTGTTTTGTTTGTTTTTTAAAATGTGATTAGCTCGAACGTTTTTTTCCAAAAACGCTCATCCCATCTTTAAAAAACTCTGGGAAATTAATTATTTTCAATATTAATTGATTTATAGCCTCATGTCAATAAAACAATTGCACGAGTTTAGAAACCGTTTTGTTAGGAAAATATATAACATCAGTAATAGCTAAATATATTGACACGTCATTGTGCAGTTCTTTGACCTTCCACAAGAAGGACTTGTACAAAGTCAATGAAGCAGAAGTTTCAGGAATGTACTAATCCTGTTAAAAAGAGGTCTAAGAAACATACGAATATATGTAGCAAATATGAAAATAATCATGTCTGACATTCAACAGATGATAACCTTCGCTCCAAGAAGATGGCACAACATTAGCATGATGCTAATGATGATATGGCTTGAGTGGGTCATATCCAAATACGGTCAACCAACTGTCAGAACATGTCTCCCACTTCTTTTGATGGTTATTTTTCCCTCTATTATTCATTTAGAAGTATTTTTGTTGCTAAATTTACTTATAAGATTTCCACAGAGTTCTGTTCTTGGCCCAGTTTTTTTGTGTTTTATTTGTTTCTCTTTTTCCATCATTTAGGATATCCCCTGCTTTTCTGATGATATTCAGCTTTTTCTACTTCAGTCGTAGACTCGTTTTCTTACCTGCTGTGTTTAGATCATTTAGCAAACTGGTTTATTTAGCACCTTGGTGGGGTTCGCTTGAACATGTGTAAATGGTAATTGCACTGTGGGTGCCTCCAAAGGTCTCTGTGTGGGTTCAAATGAACTCCTGGGCAGTTTTATTATAATATAAATATAATTCAACAGCAATCCAGTACAACTGCTAGACTACTCTGCACTAATCAGGCAAACATCACCTTGTTGCCAGTTATGCTCGGCATTCTGGGACGAAATACACAAACGTCTATAGCAGACTACATGTGTCGGTTTCAACAAATGCCTCACAAAAACACTAAAAACACTAAAGGGTTAAATAATGATGTCAAACTTGTCATATTTAAGTGTGTAGTTTTTTTCTTCTTACAGGTATGACCTCAGGATTAGATATGTTCCTGTTAATTTCCTGCAGAAATTCAAAAATGACAGATCTACGTTTCTGTACTTTTACCAGCAGGTACATCACATTTTGAAATAACGTGCAGCCATACACACCACTATATGAAATGAGTATGATTTTATTGCAGGTGCGTAGTGACTATGTTCAGTACCATGCGAGTAAAGTCAGTGATGGGATGGCGCTCCAGCTAGGCTGTTTGGAGATCAGGTGAGTCACATACAGGTACTCTATTAGTGGTTTAGGTTAAATGAGTGGCATTTGTGTGAAGATATGTGAGACATCTACATAATTTCTTTTTATTTTGTTTTTTAACAGGAGATTTTATAAAGACATGAATGCAAAAGGCCTTGAAAAGAAATCAAACTTTGAGCTGCTAGAGTGAGCTGTCTCTATTTTATTATATTTTTTACAAATTGTCCTTAAGGTCCATATCTTGTGACCAGTGCATACATCTTCAATCATGTCTAATGGTTTTTGTCTAACCCACATAGAAAAGAAGTGGGTCTAGACCTTTTTTTTCCTTCCCAGCTGTTTGCCAACATAAGGGTAAACGTTTCTTTCATCCATACCTAATGGTGATTTGTCCTACCCATCTGAGTGCAGCACTAGACTGTAACAATGCATTTCTAACCTCTGATCCAGCCTAGACCACTACGGAAGATGATCCAGCAAACATTTCAGCAGTACGCAACACTCAAAGAGGAAGACTGCATTGCAAAGTTTTTTGAGACCCTTCAAGACTTCATCAACTTTGATGAAGAGGTCTTCCCATGTGAACTAGTGGTGAGGCGCTAAAGTTCACCCAAAATGCCTTGGATAATGGTAACGTTACTAAAATGGTTGTTCTACACCAGCAAGGTTGGAGTCTATCAGTGGAGCTGGTGATTGGAGGAAGGGGCATCCGTCAGCGTACTCAGAAGGATTCAGCAGTGAGAAATAAAAATATGGATTTATCCTTTTTATGCCATTCATGCAAAGTTTGGCTTGTTCTTAAACTCACCACTACCTTAAACTTTTGCGCCCTAGGCTGTGTTCATGGCAGACTTTAAACAGATTAAGAAAGTCCAGTGCGTACCTCAGAGCGATGGCAAGGCAGTCCTAAACATCGACATCGAGGGGGCTAGGCAAGTAAGTCCAACACAAAGCAGAGCTTTGTTTGTTCAGAGAATTAGATGCAGCGTGGGTTCTTTTGTATCACACTTTTAATTTCCTCTGTGGTAGCGTCTATCCATCAGCGTTTCCACGGTACCTATGGCAGAGAACATGATGGATCTCATTGATGGATACTGTCGTCTGGAGAATGACACGGAGGACAGTATTATATACAGACCAAACAAAGGTGTGTTACAGTGACTTCTACTGGCATCTCAACAGGTTTACTAAGCCCACATGTCTTCTGCAAGGTATTTAAGAAAACAATGAAACTTAAGTCAAATTCTCAAATATTAATATTTTCAGATTCAAAGGCTTCACGGGTTTCCCTTCCAGAGATCCCGACAAGGTGAGGATCTATTGGATTATTCAGACAATACATTAAAGCTGTGTTATTTTTACAAAAATGTGAAGGGACTCCTTCCAGACTTGACCCCAGAATGCCTCAGAAGTAGGGATGGGTACCTTTGACATTTTGGCATACAGTACCAATTCTAGGTACCTACAAATCTATACGGTACTTAACGGTACCAATCGTTCTTGTTTTTTATTTGACTATTTTTCTGTCTTGTCCACCTATTATATTCCTGTATCAAACAGTCCTAAAAACTGCTACCTGGCTTCAGATACTTTTACCTCATGAGTTACCTTTGAACTGCAGTTCAAAAAGATCTACCGACCGCAAAAATAGCGTAGTGGGCGTTGCACGCCGGCTGAATCACTGAAGTCACCAGAGGACAAAACAGGTGATGCGCTCCGCTCCTTCCAGGGGAGCCCATCATCCTTTCGGGAGAGCTGGGCTCCCTTTAGCTCACCCGTAATTCGAACCTTGCATATAGCACAAGTTGGTCGTATGAGTTGCCGGAACCTAGAAGACAGTTGCCGGAATGGTCCTTTCAAAATAAGACGGTTCTCGGATCTTGTTTCGGCAAAATCGGGCTCAAATTAACCCCTGCTTAAAAAGTACAGCACTCCTAACCCTACTCAGAAGCACTAACTATGCTGCTTTTGGTGTTATTTTCACAAATGGAAAGTAAACGGTCAATATGTGTATCTAAAGCAGTGGTCCTGGTCCTCAGGGCACAGCGTCCTGCATGTTTTCCATGTTGCCCCTTTAAACACCAGTGTTTACCTGCTGCCACACACCTGACTCAAATGAATGAGTGAGTAACAGGTATCTGCAGCCCTTGATGTCCTCCTGAGGAGGTCATGTAAATCAGGTGTGCTGAAGCAGAGACATGGAAAACATGCAGGTCAGTGTGACCTGAGGACAAGGGTTGGGAAACACCGATCTAAAGGCTAATCACCTGAAAAAAGTAAGTAAAGTACATTTTATTTATCTAGCACTTATCACAGACATAGAATCACAAAGTGCTTCACATAGATCAAAACAAAATAAAACAAAGTCATAAAATCATAATGATCTCAAAACGGAATTAGATTAACATAAAAAAAATATAAAGTATTGTTTCTTCTCATTCTGCTTTTCTTCTGATGTAGCAAGGACAACAGCACGTCCAGACTCAGTATTGGTGAGCCCAAAATCTTTCAGATCTTTTATTTAACAGCCATCCTACATTAAACATTTCCACCTGACATCACGATACAGAGAAATTCATTCTCAGGCTTCTCTTTTATCCCCAATGTTCAGGTTCTGATATCTACTGTGAAATTCCTGATGAGAGGCCCAAATCAGGTTTGTTATAATGATGATGTCATAAATTTACAAGCAGAATCTCACTCAAAGACTAACAATAACACCATTGTTGCTCTTTAGCTGTGAAGTATGGACTGGATCGAAATGACATCAAATTGGGACAGATTCTTGGTGAAGGCTTCTTTGGGGAAGTCTACAAGGGCGTGTACACGAAAGCTGTAAGATGTAGCTCGTTTGTACAGAACAACAATGTGTCTGCATCTGGTTTATGTTTTTAAATCAGAATTTATTCAAATAGAATGGCAGTACCATTAATGTGGCAGTAAAGACCTGCAAAGACTGTTCACCTGACGTGATGGAGAAATTCATGAGTGAAGCAGGTACCCCCCCCCCCACACACACACACACACACACACACTAACTGATCCCCAGCGCACCAGTTATACTAAATGTGAAAAACAACAATAACCACGAGCTTAACATTTAATGGCTGGGTTTTTGTTTTCCAGTCATTATGAAGAACCTCGACCATCCTCACATCGTCAAGCTTATTGGAATCATAGAGCAGAATCCAGTGTGGATCGTCATGGAGCTCTATCAGTACGGAGAGGTTTGTGCTGGTGATCTCGTTGGAAAAACTTTATTAACATGATTGGTTCTGTGGTTATTTCTAGTTCCTTGTTGTTGGAGCTTATGCTAAATATTTAAATTACCACCACATCTGACTGCATAACTGACTTTCCTGCAGCTCGGTAACTACTTGAATCAGAACCAAAACACGCTAACGAACACAACTCTGATACTGTTCGTCCTGCAAATCTGCAAAGCGCTCGTCTACCTCTCTGGGGTCAACGTGGTTCATAGGTAAGACATGACGGAACAAAGAATCATAAACTGGGTTAAACAAGTTTTTGTTCAGACTTTTTGTTTCAGGATTGAAAGGTTTTGCAGGAATTAATTATTTAGAAAAGAGCGACAGAGAACCCTCCAAAAGGTCAGTAACCCGTGTCATAAAGAAGTCAAAACAAAAGAAGCTGTCATGATGTGTTTAGGACCCAAATATGCAGATTACCCAGACGACAAGAGGCAGAAGTTGATTCAAAGTAAAAATCCTTTCATTGCAGGATGAAAGAACAAAAATTTATCCAAGGCAGCGAGCCAAAAGTCCAAAAGTCCTGGAGCACAGGACACCCAAAGCTCTCTTAGAGCACCAAAAACCTGGAGACCAAAAGGCTCACAAAGAGCATGAAGACCTGGAGACAAAAGCTGAAACAGAGCATAAACAAACGCTGACAACAATACAATGGACCGACACAAAACAGAGACAAGACAGGGCTTAAATACACTGGGAGGAACAATTAAGGAAACAGGAAGCAAGTGTGAGGAGTGAGGGCTGGAGGGAAGGCAGGTGACAACAATAAGCTAAATTTGAACAGAACCAGAGGAGGGCAGATAAACCTAAAAACTAAACCTAAAGCCAGAGGGAAGGATTCATGCACAAACACACACACACACACACACACACACACACACACACACACACACACACACACACACACACACACACACACACACACACACACACACCGAGCCGGGGAAGGACACGCACACACACACATAGCTGGGGACAAAGAAGCTGGAGCTAAAACTGGAGGGGCTGGGGATGACTGAATGATCGCCGGACCTGAGGGGAATGATAAGAAGGCCAATAAACAGAAGACATATAAATGAGACGCAGACAAAGGACACTTGAGGGCGCTATGAGACACAAAAGGGGAATCTAGAGAGGGATGGAGCACATAAGGAGACACATGAAGGAAGATGCAGACGCAGACCATGACAGAAGCAAGAAGGAGTAAAATTTATTCTCAAGCTAGCATTAGTACGGAGGCACGGCACAAAAATAAGGGCCAATATCGATTTCTGAGATTATTACTGCTGTTATTGCTGATAATTGGTATTCACTGATTCTTTATATATTTCCCAATACCAATGTTGATGCCGATATATTGTGCATCCCTAAACATCAGTAAATGATTTGTTACGCTGCATTTTCTTAGCAACATGCTTTCAATCATTCTCAAAAAAAGTCTGAATGGTAACAATAATGAGAATTTCTTGATGTTTTAAACAAAATACGATAAAATAATTGAAATAATTTGTTTGCATTGCTCAAAATATATGAAATGTCTCAAGATTTCTGTTGGGGGTGCTATGGCCTCAGCAAATAGTCATTGATCAGACTACTAGGAATCAGAATTAGCTTTTAACTACACTTTAAATACACTCATCACTGAATCCATATTGGTTTACCACAGAGACATTGCGGTGCGGAACGTGCTAGTTGCCAGCCCGGAGTGTGTGAAGCTGGGAGACTTTGGTCTGTCCAGATACATAGAAGATGAAGAATACTACAAAGGTATTTTTAACAGGATACTGACTGTCAATAAATGGCAAAAAGAAGGTCTGATAATGAGTTATTGTCAGTTTGTTTAGAAGAAGTGTGGATATTAAATAGAAATTTGCATTTCATTTCTGGTAGCGTCCATTACCCGATTGCCAATCAAGTGGATGGCCCCGGAATCAATCAACTTCAGACGTTTCACCTCAGCAAGTGATGTCTGGATGTTTGGTGAGACGACATTTAACTTGTTGTCTTTTTCCACTGGACATGCCTGAGTCTTTTCTTTCTTTTGGTTGTTTCTGTGTGTGTTGCTGTGCAGCCGTGTGTGTGTGGGAGATCATGAGCCGGGGACAGCAGCCGTTCTTCTGGCTGGAGAACAGAGACGTGATCAACCAGCTGGAGCAGGGCATCAGACTTCCCAAACCAGAGAACTGCCCTCCTGCTCTCTACTCCCTCATGACTCGCTGCTGGTCCTACGATCACAGCGAGAGACCCAGTTTCACCGAGCTGGTGGTCAAAATCAGGTACATCAAACACAGACAGACGGGAGCTTTTTCATCTATCTATCTATATATGTATATCTATATCTATATCTCTATCTCTATATATATGTACACACACACACACATATATATATATATATATATATATATATATATATATATATATATACACACACACACACACACACACACACACACATATATATATATATATATATATATATATATGAGAGAGAGAGAGAGAGAGAGAGAGAGAGAGAGAGAGAGAGAGAGAGAGAGAGAGAGAGAGAGAGAGAGAGAGAGAGAGAGAGAGAGAGAGAGAGAGAGAGAGAGAGAGAGAGAGAGAGAGGTACCGGAACGATGATGATTAGTTCAGGATATTTCTACCAGCTGACCTTTGTTATTGATTAAAAACACACCATAGATCACACAGATCAAGGTTAATTGCTTTTCTCATTATCAAGTATTTTGATATGATCAACTTGAAGGTTTGGTTTCTTCACAGGGTTGGTTTTGCTGTAAGGCGTATTGTAGATACAAATATTTTGGTTAAAATAAAGAGTGAAACTTTGTTTCCTCAAAAAAAATTCCTATACAGAGAACCTACTTAGATAGAATTTAAAGAGCAAATTCACTCTTGGAATGTTGACTACGTGAAGTGCCTTGAGACGACTTGTCGTGATTTGGCGCTATATAAATAAACTTGAATTCAATCGAACTTAGAAACCATTTTTTACATGTTGGTTTTAAAATATTATTGGTCACCCTGAGTTTCACATGCAGGCTAAACATGAAAATAGTCTTCTACCCCATTTCCTGCATTAGCTGCCAATAGAAAAAGATGGGGAAACGCTCGGGTCAGAAAAAGCCTCAGAGATCCACGCCACCATGCAAATTAGCATTCATTGTTGATTTAACATTCAAGAGAAAGGCGAGTATGTCTCGGCTAGAAGCTAACCGTTAACATTAGCTGCCAATGGCAAATAGACAGGAAAACACTCAGGTCAAAAAAATCTACAGAGATCTGGATCACTGTGCAAATTAGCATTGATTGTTGATTTAACATCCATTAGCAAGCAATCTCGGCTAGAAGCTAACTGTTAGCATTAGCGACTCCGCAACATGGCAGAATACCTTCAGGCTTTTGTTATTTGTGGACATAAAACATCAATGTTTCAAAGTGAACAGAGGCATTAGATGAGTCGCTGCTGTTAGCCAATCAGATGCGAGATGTCTGAATATCATCAAAAATAAGACTCAGAATCCTACCTTCTGCTCCCCACCTCTCTGGCTACCTTCTACTTTCTGAAACAGAGGCGCCAGAGCTTTACTTCACACAAGACAACCCACAAGGCATCCATGTATACTAGAGACCACAACAAAGTTATTGAAAAAATGTGTGAATGAGAGTTTTAAAAAAAAATCTTCCACTTCAAATTCGTCAGTGACGTTCACAAGATGGAGAAGGAGCAGGATGCAGAAAGAGAGCGAGACAAGACTCGCGCCACCAGGTTCCTTGAACCAAAGTTTAATTTTTCCGAACCTCCTCCCAAGGTATGAACGTGTGTCTAATCTGGCTTGTATTTGTAAACCAAGTTCAGATTGAATGTTTCTTTTTGCTGAAGCCCTCCAGGTTGAATCCAGGGAGGTTTGGGAACACGCTCGGTGTTGGTCTGCACATCCAGGTATAGAAGTGAAACAGAAACACGTGGTCAGGTGTTACTGGTTTCCATTTGATGTTATGGTCTGATCTGTGTTTGCGTCTGTGCAGCTGAACGAGGCGCTCTGTGCCAGCTCACCAGACCTGGCCAGTCCGTGCGACTATCAGTCCCCCGTTGACTCCAGAAACACGCTCACAATTCCTGTTAGATCCCCTCGACGTCGCAGCATGGGGGTAGGTTATCCCAAACACTCCATGCAAGAAAGACATAACTCTGATTTAGGATGGTTTTTGAAAGGCCTCAGTCGGAAGTAATAGAGATTGTCTCTGACTGGATTAACAAGCTAACAGCTAGTCCATGCGCCGCTGAGATCTCCCAACGTATTCAGTGAGACAAACGACTCCATATTCTTTCCTCCGTACGTTGTTTTCAGGAGGGAGAATTTTCACGAGTGGACCAGAACAGCATTGAAGACACCCAGCGAATGTGGCAGAGGGAACGGCTCTACATGCAGGACACCATTCGACAGCAGAAAGAGCAGATGGCGGAGGATAAGAAGTGGCTGGCAAAGGAGGAGAAACTCCTGGTGAGAAACGGCATCATTTACTTTGTCACTCCTCCCTTTGTGTCTCTGTGTCCCTCTGCTCACCAATTCAATGTTTTCCTGGAGCCAGAGTGGAAAACCCCGTCCTCGATCCCTTGACAAATGTCCCAAAGAGAAGCTCCATGTCTGTTAACTACAAAATCACCCTGCCTGTTCTGTTGCAGGACCCCATGGGACCAGAAGAGGTCACCAGTCCAGTGGTAGGTGTCCACATTCCCACCAACGCCAAACATGCACCAAGTTACAACTCACTATTGCCAGTCCAGGGTTGACCAGGAAGCATTTTCAAAGGATTTGCAACAAGCTGTATTTCACAGTTGAAACATATTTAAAAAATGATCAAAATAGTCTGGTGCATTATCGGCCTTACCTTAATCCAGTGGTTCTCAACTGTTTTCTGGTACTTGCCACCTCCCCAGTTTCCCCTCTTGCCATTCGCCTGGAGCTCCTCACTTTAAAGGTGTGGAACACTGGAAAAAAAAACATTTTAATTATTATTTCTGGTTATAAATGATGTCTCTGGGTTTTTCATGCAGGCTGAACATGAAAATAGTCTCCTACACCTATCTCCTGCATTAGCTTCTGATGGAAGGTAGATGGTGAAACTGCAGGATTTCAAAAGCCTGACAGTGTGACATCTCACTGTCACTTAATATTTATGGACTCACCCATTTTGACTCACGACAGGGAAGGCTGCTGTTGGTTTCGCGTCCAGGAAACAGAAGAGCATGTCCACCACCACATGGCAGAACTCCTCCAGGATTGTGTTAATTGTGGAGATAAAACATAAACGTTGCAGCACAAACTGTCATTGGTAGAGTCTTGTTGCTGTTAGCCAATCACAGGAAAGACATCCAAATACATGGAAACAAGATTCCAAATCCTGTTGTTTGAAGCTCAACTCTAGTCTGGCACACTTCTACCTGAAATTGGTGCTCTGGAGTTTTTTTCCCAAGAGAACGAATTACAAGGCATCCGTTCCTTCTAGACACCACTGCAAATGTATTGATTGAACAAGTGAACCACACCTTTAAATTTAACCCACAAGAGGAAACATTATGGTCACAGCTGGATTACTGTCATGTTCATGTTGAGTTTAAAAAATGCACAAGGTCTAAGCATGTTGTTAGCATACCAATCTAACCACTTGCTAGCCACCGTTTTTATAGTAATGGATTTATTTTTCCTTTTCACCTTGAAGAACTGACCCATGGGCTCCGTTGACACGTTGCAACTTGAACAGCCCTGCTGTTATTTATTATTATTGTGGAGCTGTTGTCATTTTCAAATAGTTGATTTGAATGCTGCTGGACTGGAAATCTCCATCAAGCCTTCTCTTCACCAGCCGTTACTACGGTTTTTCCTCATTCCTGACTTCACGTCTTGTTGTCTTTTTCTGCCAGCTTTCATCATTTTCGCCAGGACCACCACAGTTTCGTCTATTAGTTCAGTGCACCTGTGTATTTATAGGCTACTTGGTCTATTGGCTTAAACAGGAAGCCTGTTGATTAGTGCTGCCACCTTGTGACTGGAGGCTGGCTTTGCATTCATGCATTAAAAAAAGACCCTATATAATAATGGGACGCGCCCACTAATTTAGAAGCAGTGTTTTAATTCTTTTTTGTTTCTTTGCAGCCACAAGAAGCCGATGGAGAGCTTGGTAAGTGCTTAATTTACAGAGTCACTTTCATCCCTGCTTCTTTTTTGCTATTCTGTTGTTTGATCCATCTTTCTGCCCTATAGCAGCCCCCGAGAAACCTCCACGACTAAAAGCACAGGTTGCCAATTTAATTTTGATTTTACGTTTTGGTCCAAGGATGTTTAGGACTTTAATTGTTCAAACTGATTTTTCTTTGCTTCCAAGGCTGCCCCCACCGCTGAGCTTGACCGCACTGACGACAAAGTCTATCAGTCCGTCATGGACTTGGTCAAAGTTGTTGTCCAGCTCAAGAATGACATCCCAGAGCTGCAGCCAGAACAATACATCACCACTGTCAAGGTACCCTGAGACAAATGTAAAGGATGGGTCGTTTACATCTTATTTATGAACCATAAAATGTGAGATTCCATAGAAACATGAAATACCAATCTGATGGATCTTTGATTATTTTAACCAGATCAGAACTTTTTATTGCAGGGATTAAGCGACACTTCTTATTAACTCCAAGGAAAGAGAGAGAGTCAGGTTTATAATAGTTAAGAAATTTATTTCTACACAATTTAAACAAGACTAACTTAAACACTCTGTGTACTGATGGACTAAGGTGGAGTGAGACGTGATGAATGATGATGGTGTGTGTGTGTGGAATGTTATTCAGAACCAGCGGATCCGGAGAAGCAGTTAGTTCTGAGTGGGAGTGAATGTTTCGCTCTAAACTTTAGTAGGATATTTATAACACACATGAAACGCCATCTGTAGGTCTACGTACCCCAGGGGAAGCCTTCATTAGATCCAGAATGTCGAGATCCTCTTGGACCCTCCTTGGTACTGAAGCTGGTAGAAAAGCAGCGGTGCCGACCAAACTAGTCTTGGAATGCTTCCAGGTCACGACAGGTTATCACTGGCGTCTCCGAGACCCTGAAGGGGTCATGAGGTTCAGCTTTTATTCTGAAGGAACCGTTGTGGTCAGGTGTAACTTGCAACAGATTTTATCCAGCTTGTCGAGGTTCTTTTGGCTGAAGAGGAAGTCCGGATGGCCAGATCATGATCCTTAGGTCAAAAACAGGACATTCATGACGCTACACAAACAACCTGCCTTCCATTTCTACTTTATAGGTTGCTGCTGCTTTGTTGGCAATTCTAAAAAGCAAAGCCAAAGTCACTGAGTCAGGCAGCTGATTCATTTTCTGTATTGATCTCTGCCTGCAGTCAGTTGGGATGGCCTTAAGAGATCTGATTCACAGCGTGGACGATGTGTTGCCCACTTTGCACGACTCCATCAAGACTGAGGTACAGTACAAAGAACGAGCACAACCTGGAGTTCATGATCGTTCTTTCCTCTGACCCCGATGCCGCCTCCACAGATTGAAGGGACCCAGAAGCTGCTCAACAACGACATGGCAGAGCTGATCAGCAAAATGCGTCTGGCCCAACAGAACGCCATCACATCTCTGAAAGAGGAGTGCAAGAAGCAGATGCTGGCTGCCGCTCACACCCTGGCCATGGACAGCAAGAACATGCTGGATGCCGTGGACCAAGCCAGAGTCAGAGCCAATATGGCCAAACCCGCCGTTCCCTGAATGAACTGCCTTTTTATTATTTCTCAATGTCCGTCAGAGCAAAGTCTGCAAACGCAGACATTTATTTAGGTGATAAAACTGATCAGAATTCAATAAAACCCTAAATGTACACATGCATTCATGACTTGTTTCCAGTTAGGAAATTCATTTTCTGTAAATACTTGATGCATCTTGCAACAGTTTTAATATTTGGGAACAAAAGATACCAATTTAATAAATAATAAATAAAGTAACAAAAATTTAGACTAAATAACCACTTTTGTTAAGTTGCTAAGAGTGAAATGTAATCTAGATTTATTAATTCACCTACTTTTTATTCATAGAGTTTAGCTAATTGAAATAATTATCCAGAAAAGAGCCAGTGTTTTTATAATAATAAATGTTGTTATTTAATCACCTGTTTCTTAAATAACTTGATGCAACTGTTATCAGATTCGATTAAGAGCTAGAGGTCTGCAAAGACTATTTTCTTTGTTCTTAATTTAAAAAAGATTTTACTAGAGAGCTAAATAAATGACTTACTGGTCAATATCCAAGAGAGAAGATGTGAATAGTTCTAACAAACCCAGTTACTCTACAACATTTCAAATTTAATAAGTGTATCGTCGAATAGCACAAGACTTAAAATTTCAATGTTACTGTTGAATGTTGCATTCAACTCTAAATGATCTCATTCTAACTTTTGTCTTCTTTTCAAAGTTCAGCCTTCTCTATATTACAACAGTGTAATTACAAAGATTTATTCTAACAATATTTAATATTATAAGCTACTCAGATAAAAATTATTTCCACAAAACATAAAATTTGAAAAATATAAGCCTGGACTTTAGGCACTATTGTGGTTACTGAATTTATATCTGTTGGATTTAATTTAAAAACGTTAATATTAAAATCATTCAACATTTAAAAATGTCTTTATAATGGTTTTAAGACTGAATGAGCATGTCATACGAGCCATCTCAGAATATTAGATCTCCACAAATAATGTCTGCTTCAGTTATTTAAACACATTTAAGTCAGAGACAAGATTTTTCCATGAATATGTTTATTACGTTGTATATTCATTCAAAAATGAATGTAATTTTGGCAGCATTGCATTAAATAAATAAATCAATATGTCGGACACCTTTCTTACTGTATTCAGATTCAACTCCAGTGCTCACATCCTTATTATCAGGACATTTCTTAATAACAAGAAGCTGAACTACAACAGAAGAAAATGGTCAGTTGGTTTTTGACTGAATTAAAGCTGAGTTGTTTAGCTACACTGTAAAAAACTCAGTGTGTAATTTACTTAACCAGAATATGTCAACTGGTTCCACTAAATGTAAAGAGTAATGTACATTTACTTTCAACATAACCTATTAAAATGCACATTACTCTTTATATTTAAGCAACTAAGCTTAGTTGACATCATTTGGTGAAGTTAACTCAACAATTAATTTATTACAGTGTACACCAAACAATCCTGAGTTTATGAATGACTTCACGAGGAATTCAGCTGCCCTCGTTACCAGTAAATAAAATATTATTTAGATTATTTTAAGTTACATTTGTGAGGAGGGGGAAAAAACAGGAAAAGCAAAATGACCTCAGTATGATTACATCACCTGGTCTTATAAAACATGTATGAAAATTGTTCAACAAGTACTGTCAGATCAGGTGTACATTGCATATTGTTTAATAGTTTTGGTGTTTTGTAACAACAATTTCTGTAATTTTTAGTGACATTTGATCCAATTTTAACTGTCTTTGACATTTTAGAGCAACAATTTAAACAACACACGAGAAGGTCTGATGACAACATTTATGACAACATTAATGACATTCTTACATTATTTTGGTCCCAGAACTTGGTCAGCTACTGAATTTAGTCCTAGACGGGTACCACTCCAACTCGCATGCTTTACGAACAGGTTTTAGGGACAATATGAACAAAATCATTGTTCTGATTTTCAAACAGCAGCACACATAATTCCTTTATGAATGCTAACATGCTAACATTAGCATTCAGGACAACCACCACCTCCGTAACATCTCGTGTGAGTACATGTGAAATCTTAGCGCTACATAAAACAAACACCTGAAAATGAACTTTAAAAAGTTGTTGTGGGATACACGTCTTCATCATCGGTAGTTTTGTAGGTGGTGATGTGTTTTATAGACTCTTTAGGCCACGGAGGTGGTACAGCTTTATCCAAACACGTTCCCGGTGTGGACGTTTCAGCTACATGTTTTAAACACTTTCGCACAGAGTTCAAATCATGCCAGCCAGCCATGGGGGCAGAAAGAGGCCTATAGTCCCAAGCAGGCACACTATGATGAACATCCATAGGAAGATGCGGTCAATCACCATGGCAACATACTTCCAGTCTTCCTTCACCTGTAGAGACGGGGGTGGGGGGGTGGGGGGGTGTAAATACAAGTAAATCAACTGAGGTGTGTTATTTGAATTGATCAGATAAATGCTTGCTGTTCTGCAGCATATAAATACACTTTTCACATGTTGTTATGTTGCAGATTAACGCTCCCTAATGGGACTTTCTACAAGCTGCTGGTGATGCATCATTTCATAAGAGCTAACTATCTTGGCTAGCAAAACAAGATCCAGCGCTGATTTAGGCACAAGTGATATATTTTACATAATACTATTTTATATTTCTCACTGGACCTCACCATCTGCAGTACTTAGATCCTCCACCAGAGGGAAGAAGACTTGTTTACAGGATTTTAAGGAAAACACTAAACCTGTTAAAGAGGTAGAGCTCCTAAATCTAAGAAATAAGCTAATAAATGATACTAAATTGGGTATTATTGTAGGGCTTTCTCTATCCATCCATTGTCTTCCACTTATCTGAGGTCGGGTCACGGGGGCAGCAGCCCCTCTGAGGCTCCTCTAAGGCGTTCTCTGGCCAGCCGAGAGACATAGTCCCTCCAGCATGTCCTAGGTCTTCCTTTAGATCTTCTCCTACTTGGACGTGCCCATAAAATCTCACCAGGAGGCATTCTAATCAGATGCCTGAGCCACCTCAAATGGGTCCTCTTGATGTGGAGGAGCAGCAGATCTACTCCGAGCCCCCCCCCCCCCCCCCCCCTCCACCGAATGAACGAGCTTCTCACTTTACTCTAGATGTAAAGGGCTGGCTAGCGGCCAATTTCCTCAGGCTGAATGATTTAAAGACTGAGTCCATTGTCTTTGATACCCACAATCCTTCTGGCTTTCATTTAACTTTTGATGGTTTAAACCCTAAGCAGTGTGTAATAAGCCTCGGGGTAAAAATGGATGCCAACCTCTCAATGACTCCTCAGATCGACTCAGTGGTGAGGACTTGTTTTTATCAGTTACGCCGCTTAACTCGATTAAGACCGATCTTAAAGAGGAAGCACTTGGAATCAGTCATCCACGCTTTCGTCATCTCTCGCTTGGACTATGCTAACACATTATTAGTTGGAACTCCTGTCTCTGCCCGGAACCGGTTGCAGGTTGTCCAAAATGCCGCTGCTAGGTTTTTTAACAAACACAAGTCGACACAGCCATACAGGGCTGTTGCTAGCTATTTTGGTGCCCTAAGCACAAAGGCCTCCGTGGTGCCCCCCCCCCCCCACACACACACACATACAGAAAAAACAACACAACGACACAGTATGTGCGAGCGCTTCGCCTTAACTTCTCTTAAATTCTCTTGTATGCACAAACTGCTTATTATTTTCCAAAAAGTAGGATTGATATTTAGTGTGCGTGTGTGTGTGTGTGTGTGTGTGTGTGTGTGTGTGGGGGGGGGGGGGGGTCATTTTGCCTTGGCCCCCAAAATGTCTTGAAACGGCCCTGGGTGTGTGACTGAGTTTTGAAGGTGATCTGAATTGTATCAGATGTAGAAATATGACATGTGTGTAACTTATTGTTTTATACAGGTAAAAACGTGTAGTGGAGATAAATCTACCTACATTTTACTTTTCAACACTTTGTTTTGTTTTCTTGTTTTTATTGAACTATTTTCCTGTCCTGTCTGTGTCTCATCTTCCTGCATCTCCTCTAAACTCTCCAGAAAATCTGCTGCCTGGATTCTTACTTTTTCACCTCATCAGTTACTTTTGAGAAGATCAAAGATCTCCTGACCGCAAAGAGGAGTGCGTGTTTCAATGCTGCGTCAGTGAGGTGAAATCACCGCAGTGCAGGTGATGAGCTCCGCAGCAGAGCGCTTCGGGCACAAATAAGACAGAAAGTAGAGAACATGTGCGGACATGAACGATCGTGTGTTAATTTTGGTTGTGCCACTTCGAGAATGGACCGTGCGCTGGAAGCAGCTGCCTGGAGCGCTGCACAACAACGCAGCACTGTGTCGCTGTCTGTGCTCTCTGCTCCAAAGAGTCCATAAATGATGTAATATAGTTAGAAAACTTTTTTCCAGCTCCCCTGGATGTGTAGGGTATCCAGCTCCCCCATAATATGATCCCTGCTCCTAGATGAAAAGCCGGACATTTTCATCAATACAAGAACCAGTCCGGACGTCCCGGACAGAGAGTGAAAAGTGGACACGGTCCATCTCCTTTCCTTTTTGTATTGTTTTCTCTCTGTAAACATGCTGTTAACTTGCTTTGCACATCTTCTAATTGAAATCTGTCTTTATCATATATATTATTTTTTTCATAAGCTTGCGTTTGGTGCCCTTTCCCCGGCGTGGTGCCCTACGCGCTGTGCGTGGTGTGCGTGTGCGGAGCGCCGGCGCTGCAGCCATATGACACCAGTCCTGAAACGTCTTCACTGGCTCCCCATCACATTTCGTGTGCGTTTTAAAATATTGATGTTTGTTTTTAAAGCCCTACACGACCTAGCTCCTCCTCATCTGTCCGACCTGCTGACTCCCTATGTGGCTACTCGTATGTTGAGGTCAGCTGACCATCTACTGCTTTGCATTCCCCGGATGTCCTACAAATCACGAGGTGAACGTGTGTTTGTCCATGCTGTCCCCATCCTCTGGAACTCACGGCCCATTACAGTTAGGCTGGCATCCTCTCTGCCTGTTTTTAAATCTCATTTAAAAACCTATTTTTATGACTTGGCTTTTAGACCGAGATTCATGTTATTGTGTTATGATTTTATAGTTTTTATTGTTGTGTTTTATCTTCTTATTGTTTTTACTTTTGTTTTAATTGGTCCTGCCTGTTCAGCACTTTGGCCAGCTCTCACGCTGTGTCTTAAATTGTGCTATAGAAGTAAAGTTGGTATGGTATGGTACCTCTGGGAGAGCCAAGACACCCTGCAGAGAAAACTCATTTTGGCCGGCTTGTATCTGATATCTAATTCTTTCAGTCACTATACACAGCTTGTGATCATATTAGGGTTGAAACGTAGATTGACCGCTAAATGAGAGCTTTGATGTCCGACACTCTTCATCACGATCGACCGGTACAGCGCCTCAGTCTAGTCACTATTATTGTCTAATTCGGTATAAATTATGGCAAAGGGGAGGATTGGAAAGTGTGTTTTCGCTTGTGTCTATGTCATTGGCGCTTCCAGGGGTAGGGCCACAGGGGCAGTGGCCCCTGCTGTAACCTTAAAGGCTCGCCCTGTCCTGTAAGTCCAAGTCCAAGCACCGGTGGTGCTAGAGAGCCAGCGTCGAATCTTGATCGCGCCATTCATCCGTCAGCCTCAGCACAATATCTCACTAATGTCTGGACAGATTTTAATTTAAGTGAATATTTTAAGGTGATTGGTTGATGTGGGACTCACACTAAAATCTGCATCCTCGGCTCTCAGGTGATCTGCGATGTAGTGGACCCCCTCTAGCGCCCGCATCACACTCGGTGACAGCTTGAAGTCCGACACCAAGTTGTCACCTTTAGCGCGGCGCTGAGTGGAATTAAACCTGCTTCCACCCGACTGTCTGTTGGCTCCCTCTTGCTGCTTCTGAGTTTGATTTAGCTGTGATGGAGGAGTCGACCCTGGGGGTCTTGGTGAGGGGGGACGGAAGGAAAAGTATGTTGTCAAAGTTCCCAACTCTAAATCCTCATAGCAGCTACGCTCTGGGTTTTCCAATCTGTTCCCATCTCTAAACCAGGTCGAGGAGGTGCTGATGCAGTTTGCAGATTTGTGCCCAGCTGCTCGGATCTGCCGCCGTTCCTCCGCAGCTTCCTGCTGCAGCAGCAGCAGCCTGCAGCGTCGTCCATCAGGCGCAGGCCGGCGCATGAACAGCCAGCGCGGGATCAAGTCCAGGAACACAGAGTGGACCCATCGGGGCATCTTATGAGTGCTGGGGGAGCGATGATGCACGTTTAACACAAACACAGTGATGACGATGGACAGAGTGACAAAAATCATAGTGAAGAGGAGGTACTCTCCGATGAGAGGTATGACGAGGGATGTGGACGGTATGATTTCTGTGATGAGCAGGAGGAAGACGGTGAGGGACAAGAGCACGGAAATACAAAGAGTGATCTTCTCGCCGCAGTCTGAGGGCAGGTAGAAAACCAGAACAGTCAGGCAGGAGATCAACAAGCAAGGGATGATGAGGTTGATGGTGTAAAACAAAGGGAGCCTTCGAATGATGAAGAAGTAGGTGATGTCTGGGTAGATCTCGTGGCAGCAGTCGTATTTCTTCGTGTTGTACGTCCCCACGGCGTTGATGATGGCCCACTCGCCGCTCTCCCAGTAGTTGTTCAAGTCCACGTTGTTTTCAATCTGCTCCAGGTCAATCTTGGCCTTGTCGTAAGTCCAGGAGCCGAATTTCATTTTGCAATTCTGCTGATCGAAGGGGAAGAAGGTGACGTCGATGCTGCAGGAGCTCTTGTAAATGGCAGGAGGGACCCAGCGCACTTTACCTGTGTAGAACAGGTGGGCTTTGGTCATGTGAGTCACAGCGAATTCACCGTCAGCACTGGAGAAGAAGACACAATAGAAAAGTAACAGAAGGGAAACTATTTCAGTTAGAGAGGACAACAAATCAAGTCTAAGGAGAGACTTTTTATATTTATTCTGGGAACCATAAACGTGTCTAATGAAGCTTTTATCATTTCATCAGCCTCGCCTCTTTTCATTTCACCACCAGCCTAGAGAGACTCAATGGAGCAGAGCGCTGTAATCAACCTGCCTGATTTAATCTTCACCCTGCCATCAGGTGAGGGGTGGTGGGGTCAGATCCTCATATTTGTGTGTTTTAAACCTGATTTTAGACAAAATGAATGCATATATGAGAAATTTTAGGATTTTAGGAATTTTAACTGACAAAAACGACCAAAAGAAACCACGAAAAAGGGTCGAAATAAAGGTAAAAGATGCATTTTTAAACAATCTAGTTTGAGAAAAGACCATACACAAGATTTACTGTGTGTCACTAGGTGGCACCATCTTCCCAGTACATACCAGCTGCTTCTTAGACATCCATTTCAAAGAATTTTATTGAAAAAGTCCTGAAAAAATGTATTTAAAGTCATGTTTTTCACAATGTCATTAAAACATCAAATAAGTAAATAAAAACAGTTAACGAGCAAACTAAAATAAAAAATGTATAAATTATGAGAACTTTATGACAATACCCTACTTGTTATAAAGGACGATGTCTGGGACCCAGATGAGCTCCGATGGAACTCTGATGGATGTCACGTTATCATAGTCAGATGGTCTCCAGCGAAGCTTGTAGTCATTCCACTCCTGGGAAACACAGACGACAGAGCACCGCCATGGTCATCACAGAAAAGAGATATAAAACCTAAAAAATCACCTTTGCTGCACGTTTATCTTACCTGTTTAAGCCACACGTTAGTTGTCATCATTTGGTTCTTTTCATCCTAAAAGACAAAGAGTTCAACAAGTAATTAAATGGAAACTATGTGAGAATTTAAGGCAAAAGAAATCTATTTGTGGGTGATTGAAAAATAAAAATGGCTAAATAAAAAGAGAAAAATATTTTTATTACAACACTTTGTTTTAAATTTAAATGGTGATATTTTTGAGAAAATATTAACCCTTTAAATGGCAGAACAACCATGCAGCATTTAGTCTCTATATTATTTTAAAGCATGAACTTAACTAAACTGAACACAACTATTAAAATAAAAAAAAAACTAGAAATATATTGGGGGGAAAAGAATGATTACTGTAGTATTTTTTATTTAAAATTTGTTTTGTTCCTTCAATTAATTTACATCATTTTCTAACTCTTGTTTTAAATTAATAACTAATAATAAAACAGTTTTATTGCTTTTTAAATCTTATCTCTTTACATTTAAAGTATGACAACGCTACAAAAGCCTATACAGAAGATGATTAGGGTCACTTAAAAAGGAAAAGAATAAAAAATCTGACTTTATTTGCAGATTTCTGAATTTTTCCTCTAAAGTCAAAAAGGCAGAATTCTGAGAAGAAGAAAAAAAAAAATTAGAAAATGTGGGGAAAAAGACTGAATTTTTTTTCTGTTCAGTGGCCCTAATCCTCTTCCATGCATTTATGAGATTTCCATGGAATTAAGATATGTGTATAAAATGTTGGTTATGTTTAGTTTCTTTGGTTTCATGTCAAACGCAAGAGCTCACCACATCAATGAGCTGTGCTATGGACAGTCCAAACTTGACAATGACGACATCAGAGATGTTCGGAACCGGTCTGGACCACTTGTTGTAACCAGAAAACAACGTCTTGAAGAGCTCATCTTCAGCGTGTGAGTGGGTCTTAACTTGACACAGAACTGTGGACAAAAATACGTTTATTTATAGATGATCCTCTTATTTCAATCAAACCTTCAAATAAGTATTCCGTTTTAAGGGATGATTCCGATCAACTGAGAGTTTTAGTGAAAATGAAACAAAGAGTTTGTAAGGATCGCATCAGTCTTCCCTTCTCCTTGACCTTTATAATCCTCCCTTAAACAGTTGTACATCTATGGTATGGAGGCATGAGTGAGAGCTGGGAACACGCTTTAAACATCTGAGACTTCTCTCTGGTAAGTCTTATCGACCGTTTCACATCTCAGCAAATCTTTTCATCTCTTGATCCAAGCTCCTCATGGGGTTGGCCTGATGAAATCTCTCAAGCTGAGCAGGTGAAGTCTGAGGAAGGATCTATTCTATCGTCATCATGACACAATTGTAGACATAAGATCCCTCAAAGTGATTATGATGTATATGTGTGGCTTGTTTAAAGGGATTCTTAATAGGTGATTTAGGCTGATTTGCATGCAGGTTTTCAGCACTCCTCACACTGAGTTACACACATCATTACTCATATGTTTAGTTTAACTGCACTGACTTCTCACTACTGCAGGGTGATTACTGCTGAGCTGTTGCAGTGGATGTGTAAAATAATTAACAGCTCTTTTCTTGAAAGAGTAGACTAAAACCAAACATGGTTTCTCAAGTCACACCCAGGCCTGATTACTCCCAATCACTCCCACAGAACATGTCTGATTATGTGACATGGGTTAAAGGATCTCAAAAAGCAACATCTCTACAGAAAACAAGAACAAAAGAACACAACACAACATCTAAATGATGGCAGGCCATGTTTAAAGTGGACTGCTATGCATCAGGATATATGTGGCCCATCCATCCATCCATCCATCCATCCACTTCTGCTTATCCGGAGTCGGGTCGCTGGGGCAGTAGCCTCAGTGGAGAATCCCAGACTTCCCTCTCCCAGCCATTTGGGCCAGCTCCTCCGGGGCAATCCCAAGGCGTTCCCTGGCCAGGTGAGAGACATAGTCCCTCCAGCGTGTCCTGGGTCTACCTTTAGGTCTCCTCCCGGTTGGACGTGCCCGGAAAACCTCACCAGGGAGGCATCCTGACCAGATGCCTGAGCCACCTCAACTGGCTCCTCTCGATGTGGAGGAGCAACACTTTTAAATTTTACCTGTCAGCGTACCGGGACTTATTTCTAGCATATGATGTATACTGATAGTTTTTATACTCCTTTATAGGGATGCACAATGCCACTTTTTCCAAACTGATACGATACCAATACTTGGATCTGAGTACTCGCCGATACCGATTACTGATACCAATACTACTACCACACAAAAAAATGCTATGAATCAGAATACAGGTTTTATTTTCTTCTCTGCTTTCAACAGGAAAAGACTGTAAGGTAGATAAAAAGTAAAATATATGAATAGAAATGATCAATAAACTAAAATGTTAGGTGAACAGAAATGACAAGTTACAGTGAAGCCACTTTCAAGCATCTGCACTGGTATCGGTTCCTGGTATCAGCTAACTTTTATCGATACCGGTATCGGCACAGATACAGGTATCAATATCGTATCGGTGTATCCCTAGTCCTTTATCAGTCAAAGTTTTCAAAATTTCCAAAATACATCTGACTGTCGTCAGGTCAACCCCCCCGTCAGGTCAGAGGTGCTCTTCCCCCACTCGAAAATCTTGTCTCTGATTGGCTAACAGCGATGCATCTCTACCACCGACTTCGTTTGCTTTGCAACGTTGATGTTTTATCTCCACAAATAAAAGCCTGAAGGAGTTCTGCCATGTTGTAGAGTTGCTAATGCTAACGGTTAGCTTCTACTAACCAAGACGTTCTCTGCTGTTTCCTGGATGCTAACCAACATCAACCTTCCCCGTCGTGAACCAATATGGGTGAGTACATTAATGCTAACTTACAGCGTGACATAGACCCACGTGACATTTCTATTCTGAGCGTTTCCCCACCTATTTTCTAACGCCAGCTTACGCCGGAAATAGGGGTAGAAGACTATTTTCACATTCAGCCTGCATGTAAAACTCAGAGTTATTGATGAATCTAAATAAAATGTAAAAAAAAGATTTCTTATTGAGCTTGCTCTGCTAACAACCCTCCAATGTGGTGGAACTAAACCATATTTTCCACACAGAGCCAGGTTGTTTCGGATAGCTTTTCTAATAAAATTTAATCAATAAATGAAATCTAAAATAAAATAAACAAAACCCACCAAATAAAGTGTTTAACATTCCTTATTTGTTTTATAAGCATCAAAACAAGAACACAAATATGATAATATGCTTAGATCATGTTTCACATCTTATTTGAAAAATATTTATACACTATTGAATTCATGCAACTCCGGTTCTTTACATTTGAAATATATTTTAAGTACATTTGCAGCACTAAAATCAGGATCCGTGTTAAAAGGACCTAAGATGCCATTGGTCTTGAAGTAATATCCCACATGGTGTGCATCACTCTTTGATCATAAAGGGTAAAATGCAACCCAGTGAAGTGTGCCACCATCATGGACCCATCTAACAAGATCTTGAAATGGTAGCAATTGCTGTCATCAAGGCCACATCATTGCCTATCCATGGATGAGCTGTAGCTCAGTTTATTAAGCCTTTGTAACGTGTAAATGTAGATCAGTTCAAATAATAACTCAAAAGGGTTAAACTCTGCAAGAACAAATGCTAATTTGTACTTCGTGCTTAGCCAGGGGTGGGCGATAAGAAGATACTAGATTGTGATGAATAAGTGACATAAAGCTCATACTATACAGAAAATTATAAACAGCTGACAGTTGGATGCACTTCAAAGCAAGTAAAAGAAATAGTGAATTTGTCATTTATTGTTCATTTCCTTCAAGGTCCACCCAGAGTTTATTTTTATTTATTTATTTATTTGCCATAGTAAATTTATTTCCATCAGGCAAACGAGGATGCACCAGAGGCTTTGTATACGCTGATAGGTGGGGTGGTGTACGTTCATCTATCTGTGCATCTGGGAAAGACCAGATGTAGGGCTTGACAAAAGGCTCTCGGGCACCATACATCATATCCTCCTGCCAGTGCGGTCTTCAAACAAGATGACACCTCCCACAAACCAGCGTGCCGGGCTGAGAATGTTGGACCATGGCCAACCCTCTTGGCGAGGTATATAAAACACTGACCGGTTTGGAGGATGGAGTCAGCAGCTCCTCCAGCCAGAGGCGCTCTCGGTGATATTGGGCTGTCAAGTACTTAAAGTAAAATAAAAAAAAAATCCACTGAATAACAGCATGAAAACGCTTTGCAAGGGAGGGAACGGCAAGGTTTTGGCATCAGAAATCTGCATCATGAAGTGAATCAGCTTGAAAGATGAACAATTGTTTATAAGCTACAAGGGCTCATGGTCATGCACATTGTTTATGTGTTTAGGAGTTACATCTATGTCAAACCTTCCTCTAAAGCACCTCAGAGCTCCAAATGAGACATTAAACATAGGAAAAGTGCAAAAACCATTACCTGGAACAATAAAAAGAAAACCAGGGGTGGGAATTTAACTCGTTAATTATGATTGATTAATTTATTAGAGAAAAAGAATGTAGAAAAGTCTAGCTTCAAAATTTATGCCCTATATTTCAAAACATTTCATCAAAGATGAAAAAATCTACATTTTTACTGTTATGTTTTCTAGTCGGTAGAAAACCTTCAGCAGAACTTCCCCTGAACTCTACACACCTTTATATACATTAGCAGTGCTCTGCTGCCACCTAGTGTACAGTTAAGTATATAACGTTTACAGTGATGCACGTCCATTTACACTTCATCAGCAACACATTATTATACATCCTAACAAATCCCAGAACGGTTACCTTTATAATGAGACAAAACTAAACATAGACCTTGTGGTTACAGAAATATACTCATTAAATTATTAAAATGTGATTAATCAAGATTAATTTATCACAATGCCTCTAAATAATTAGATTAACTTTTTTAATCGAGTCCAAGCCCTAAAATATTTGTGGTAATTGGAAACATTTGGAAAGGTAAAAACTAGGTCAACAGGGAGTTGTTGCCTTAAATACTGTGGAAATAACAAAAAATAAGTTCAGGGTCTGTTAAAGAAACAAATGAGATATAAGGAACATCTCAAATATGTATGTTTAACAGACTTTTAAAATAAATATGACTTTAAAATAAGTCAGGGGTGTTTTTAAACACACATCTTGGTCATGGAATATTTAAACATAATGTTTATCCCCAAATGGTAAAAAAATAAATTACAGCTAAGTGGAAATTACACTGAAAAGCAACAAAATTCAGTGGCGATTGATCAGGAACAAGGGCTAAACTATCATTTTCCATGAGCAGATTTTTACTGTTTATTTGTTGCCATTTATTTTATTTTTCATTTTTTGTGGTTATTTTTGTCTTATTTGTTTTTGTGAAAGCCCTAGTCAACAACATCAACTTAAACAAAACAAAACAAAAGCATTTATTTTCCTAAATTCAATAAGTAAAAGCATAAAACATGAGCCATGTTGTCATTTAAGATGAAATACAAGGAAACCCCCAGTTTTTTTTTTTTTTTTTTAGTTTTTTAACTAAAAGTAGAATTGTTTACCTGACTGAGTCAGAAATACAACCCAGAAGAACAAGTGGTGGAAAACCATTTTGCCCTTTAGGTCCAACAACTTCACCAGTGAGGAGCGCAGAGATGGTTCCTTCTGTCATCATCTTCACAGCTGGGAGGCATCTCAGGGCAAATTCACTGCGACTGTCACAAAAACTGGTGTTAAATCAGAGTTAAGGCATGCAAGCTTGTCTCCTCCTCCCCCGCCTCCTCCTCCAAAGCTCAGCATTGGTGAGGATCCCTTTTGTCACTGTCCGTCATGAAAATGGGGAAGATGCAGGCGATGGCAGCCATCAGTCATTGCTGAATCCAGGTTCACTCAGACACGTGGTCTAATGGAACAGCTCAGTCCCAAAACGAAGCATGTAATATAATCCAGGAGCCAAACCAGTGCGCCTTTTTACGCATGGATCCAAGTGTCCATATTGTTCTAATCCTCGTTTTCTTTAAATTGAAGTAAGAAATGATTGATTTTCCTGACAGGAGCAGGTGATCTGGACAGGAAGGTGCGTGGGTCCGAGTACGGATAGGACATCTCTGAGCACCTTTATCTGGATCCTGTTAAAGGTCCCTCCTCCTTTCCCCTCCCTCTCCCCCCCCCCCCCCCCCTCACACACACACACACACACACACACACACACACACAAGGGTTCCACCTTTACTCTAACACATCTGGCGTTTGGATGCATCAAATACCATTTTTCTCTTAAACTGATATGAAATCTGACCTTTTCTCTAGAATAATGAGTGAGGAGGAAGTCATGGTTTTAGGGAGATGGTTCATTGTAAATCAGCTAGAGGGCAGACTAATTGAATGAATGCTTAGGGACGTTTTACTTCTGAGTCATACAGAAACATGAAAAACTCAACAACAACAAAATAATAATAACATGACCCCAAATTCATCAAAGCACAACCTAATACAAAAAAATCTGGTAATGCTTTCTTTTACAGTCTCCTAATTACTAAGTACTTACATGGTAATTGCATAGTAAGTTAAAGTGTATTATCGTTTCTGAGTTCTTAGTTATTAACATGCAACTCAGGTTCAATTCTAGTTTTTATTTTTATTATTCATTCCCAGTAAATGCTGCTTTACACAGTAATTACACTTTATTACAATTATAAACTTAATTACACAAAAATACACGTTAACTTACCATGTAATTACACTGTAAGTACTTAGTAATTAGGGGATTGTAAAAGGAATCGTTACCAAAAATCTTTATTGATTCAAACAGGAACAGTAAAATAATCATATTTAATAAGAAAATATGCTTTATGGGATCAAAAATTTAATATAAAATGACTTAACAGTTTTACAGACAATAATTCTTAATTAATATAAAAAAATTTTTTACAAAAGCTTTATGTACAGGTTGTATACCTTATTGCTAACCACCAGCCACTCCCTTAAATCCCTACAACCAGTTTCAAATGTTTCCACTAGTAGGCTGATAGTTGATCTCTAAAAGGTGTTTGTGTTGAGTTATTAAAAAAAAGATTTGGTTCACATGCTGCTGCCCCTTTTTGACCTCTGGAAAATCCCCCAAAATGTCTCTAGATTGAACAAACGGCAGGCTTTTGACGTCCCTAAAAGGAAAAAAAGTGCATTTTTCATTGCTGGCTCACCCGTGAGCATTTGAAGGTTGATCACTCGTTATGGACCTAGAACAGGGTCACGGAACACATTTAAATGAAGCTGACTTTTTTATTGGTGGATTTTAACAATGTCTTCCAGGTGCCTGGTAAACGAAGATTTCAGGGCTCGTGATGACCTCTCCAACCTGCCGGCGATGTCCGCTGCAGCACGAAGCATGTCTTCAAAGACTAAAGACTCCTCTTTTATTCTGCTCCGGAATACAAACCATCCAGGTTGCAGGAGAAGAAAAAAACGTGTGGAAAGAAAAAAGCAAGGACATATGTTAATTTATAATTATATTACATTGTAATAAACATTATCCCATTCTGTGAGCAAAGTTACATTGTATGTGAAGTCTGGTTTGTTTATTCCAAAGGTGAATATGGGGATTATTTTCATGAGAACTTTTTTATGAATACAGCCAAAACATAAACATATTTTACACAAATTTAGCTAGATAAAGAAAAAATGTTCTAAAAGCTCGTTTACTGCATATCTTTGAAGCTCTGAGGAGTAACACATGACAGCTGATTAGCCGTTTGACTAAGGCTGAAATCATAGTTACATTTAATTAAGAAGGAAGAGAGATGCAGCTGAGAGGCGGCCTTCCCATTAGGCACGGGGCCCCAAACACTCCAAGAGCCCTGACACCTAAAGATGTTTAAGGTATTTTTCCTCCAAACTAAATTAACCCTGTCATTCTAAAAGAAGCAGCAAGAGTAAACGGTTCGTAGCAACACTGCCAAATGTTACGGATTTCCTTAAAGTGCCAAAGTAACAATTACTGAAAGCCACAATAATGTTAATGCTGCAAATGAAAAGCAGGACGTTGCTGCTTGCGCTAACACTTTTCTCTAAGCAAGGATTGAAATGGGTTCAGATAAGCAGCTGCAGAGGACCCCGTGCTTTTGCTTGCCTTAGACCCCAAATTGCTAGGTCCGCCACTGATGAAGCTTACTGAAGATCAGCTACAATGTTTTTAAAAATGGTGACTGCAAAAAGGATATCAACAAACTGTAGTTTGTGATAATGGAGGCAGTATTATGGTTTGGGTCTATTTTTCCTCATCTGCAAAGTGAGGGGTATTAAAATAGGTTTTTAATGAGAGAAAAAGTCCAAACTAAATCAGTAATTCTCCATATTTTACAGAATAAGATTTTCTCAAAGGAAAGTGGTTTATTTAGTTAAAACAGCATCAAACACAAATTAATTTAGTAAAATGGTTTAAGCGAACTTTGTATTTAAATGGCTCGATATGGAATTAGCAGATGAGCTGAAGATGAGCCAGTAAAAACCCATGAAAAAGTCAGAGATGGACACGGAGAAATTATAGTTGCAGCTGCACAAGAAGATAGCATGACATACTTTACATTTTAACTGAACTCACTTCTGCATCCCAGTAAAAACATCTAATCCATCTCCTTCCAGCTGCTTTTTTAAATCATCTTCAGCTTTCTCCACCACCTCAATACAGCTTTTGTGGTCTTCCTGGATCCCAACAATATTTTCTTTGATCATGTCCTCGTAACGCCGATCTCCCAGGTCTGACCCCAAAAACTGCTCTAAATTCTCCACCACCGCCTGGTTTCCATGCTGCATGGCCTTCAGATAGGCCACTTCCTCTTTCTGAGCTTTCAGCCTCCGAGACAAAGCAGCAGCCTTGGTGCTGAAGTGAACAGAGCACTCATCTGCTCCAGCGTCCAACTGGAGCAAAGGTGAAAATGATGGTGAAAATCCCAGTGAGGAATGGCGGTCCTTCATGCTTTTGGGGTCATCACCAACAACGTTCAGTGTGCTGTTGGTGCTCATTGTGGTGGAGAAGATGTCAAAGCCTGAACCCCAGTCAACGTCTCCACTTTGGCAGAAGGTTGGAGTTGCCATGGAAACCCATGCTAAGATGAAGGTGGTCCAACGCTGCCACATGATGACCTGAAGCGATAAAAGATGAGTGATTGTGAACATTACCATATTTCATGGTTGGGAGAAATGTTTTAAAGAGTCAAATATTGTATTTAATGCTGATTAACTATTTTTTTTCAGTACATCTGCTCTGAGCTCGAGTATGAATGAATGTCTTAAATGTGAGTCGTTCTCTGTTCTTCTTTTCCAGGAAGTAGAAGTGAGCCGGGGGAGTTAGGACCAGAAAACGACAGGATTTGGAGTCTTACTCATTAACAGTTATGATATTCTGACATCTTTCCTCTGACTGGCTAACGGCAACACAACTCTTCTACTGCCTCCATTTTCTCTGCAATGTTGATGTTTTATCTCCACAAAAACAAAAGCATCAAGGACTTTCACCATGTTGTGAGTGCTAATGCTAACGGTTAGCTTCTACTCTGCTCTCTCCTGGACTCTAAATGTACAACAGCTTCCCCTTTAGTGAATTCAATTCAAAGATACTTTATTAATCCCAGAGGGAACTTAGTGTTTCAGTACACACAATTCTGAGATCAGACATACATACATATCTATCTATATATCTATATCTATCTATATGTCTATATATAGATGGATATAGATATCTATATCTATAAATGTATACGTATATATATATATACGTTTAACATAATGTGTATTATTTAAGCAAGCCATTTTTTACAGTGTAAAACACAAGGGTTTTATCGTTGGTGATTAAAGGCCTCAATAGTGATCTCTGTTTTTGTCTTCTGGTTGATGTGTTTGTTTTTTAAGCTTGTTTGTTGTTTGAAGATCACCTTTCCTGTTTGAGTCCAAACTGCTGTGGTTGTGCATCAAACATTCCCATCCAGCAGCCTTTGTGTTGGTTTTGTTTACAGCTGGTTTCCCTGGATCTTGTAGAACATTTTGTAGCCCTGCTGGGACATGGCAGAGAGACGCCCACGGCACCAGGGGTTGTTACAGTTTAGGATGAAATAGTGTCACCATCTAAAGTTTCCCCGATCTCCTTGTGGAAACGTTTTTAAAGCCTGCGTCGTCCCCGTGAGGTCCAGTTCTTTCTGCTGTCGGAGCACATTTAGCTTCAGCTGAGTTTCACTCTTACATCAACCAAGAGACCAATTCAACTCCCCAAAGCTGAAAAGAAGGTTTTGAACCTTTTTCATCTTGTTCCAAAACACAAAAATGCACCGATTAAGACGTGAGATGACTTGTAGAGTAAAGAAAACCCATGAAATTACCAACAACTGGCCTTTTCTGTTTGCTGACGCCTAAAATTGTTATCTGTTGCAACGGTTGTAAGACGAAGCTTTCAAATTAAGCTTTAAAGTTGTTTCTGTAATTCAGGAGCTTCCTTTGGATTGGCACGTGCAGTAGCGGTTTTAGGCACGGGCAGACAGGGCAGTTGCCCGGGGCGGCATTTTTTCATGACACAAAAGGGGCGCACAAGCGCTGAGTAAAAAAAAAAAAAAAAAGAAAGAAACCTGCGCCGCACCGAGGTTTTCTATTATCTGTCAGACGACAGTGTCTGGATTGGAAACAGCAAGTTGGCGCCCCCTGCAGCTGCAGGCGCTCCGTGCACCGTGTGTGTATGAAGAAGAGGAAGGGGAGGGGTTACGGCGGGGGAATTCACCTCTGGGTGGGTCCAAATGAAATGAGCGGGTAGGGGCTGAATCAACTGTATCAACATAGCTAAAGTCAATCACATCTTGATGTTCTTCCACATTTCATTCATAATATCCTCAACACAGGCCTATCATTCTTTCAGGTGTTTCTGAATTGTGTGAAATGGCCGAATAAAAAAAGGAAAAACAAAACGATTTTGTGGTCACCCCCCCCCCCCCCCCCCCCCCCATCAAGGTCTAAATGTTTAGTCCTGACTAAAGGAAACTTATTGAGTCAAGAGCCAAACAGAAGAGATGAACATGAAAAGGCTAAAACCACCAGGTGCCCGATTCAGGAGAAAAAAGAAAAAAAGAGGAGAAAGATAAAGGTATGTAGCTCTCATGATGCATGTTTTCAATTTTTTGAACCAGTTAACTGGGATTTTAACGGTTAAATTCGGTCAACTAATTGCTAACAGAGCTAATAGGGCTGAAATATTGAAACGAATATTCAAATTGTTCGAAAAAATTCCTTCGTTTTTTACTGATTCAAACTAGGATTTGTTAAATGCTCGCTGCAGCCTGTGGCCTGCCTGAACAACAACAAACACATGTTGATCATGTTCTCATAATAATAAATAAAACAACTCTACAAGCAGAAGAAAACTCCCCAGTCACCACTAACTATCCTGTTTATTTATTGCAGATGGCTGCACTGATTATTTTTTACCTGATTTGTTCTGTAAAAGTTGGCATTTTTGTTATACAGTTTTTATTATGTCAGTTTAAATTACAATTTCAGAGGCAATTCTAAAATATTATGGATCATGATAAAGATCTGTTGGAGATCTACCCCAACTTTTGGACTGCTCTGCCAGTCACTGTGGCTCCAGCTGAGAGGAGCTTTTCAAAACTTGATCAAGTCATACCTGAGGTCAACTATGTTTCAGGGGCGGCTCACTAACCTGGCTCTGATTAGTATCAATCACTCAGTAGGGGAGCAGATTTCATATGATGACATTATTGATGACATTGCATCAAGGTTAGGTTTTAATTTTAGTTTGTTTTCTGTTCTAAGTGCAATGCTGTAGTGATTATCTTTAGTTTGTTATGTGTGAAATATTTTTGCTATTTAGAATATTTATTATATATTATGTACATATATTCTTAATATTTAGTTAGTTTAGTTGTTTTTGTATATTTGATTCTATATATTTTGATACAGTGTATAATGTATGTTACTTTACATTCTCACAACTTCATAGTAATTAATGTAAATATGTGCAACTTAGAAAAATGAATGTTCAATAGTCATTCTAATAAAACATGCCTGTTTGTAGAAAACGTGTGTGTTCGTGCGGGTGGGGTGGTGTGGTGGTGGTGGTGGTGGCGGTTGTGTGTGTGGGGGGGGGGGGGGCTCAAAAGGGGGCCTCGCCCGGGGAGTAATTCCATGTAGAACCGCCACTGGGCACGTGGATTACGGCTGACAGGATTACATAACCAACAGAATAAAACAGATTTAAGGAGTTTTTCAGACATGACGTATGTGCATAGATCTGGGCCAGTAAATGTATTATTCTGTGTGAAAAGTATTTATAATTTGTTACCATTTCTAAACCACTGCAGCCTTCAAATCAATCATTTTAAGTATGTTTTGTTATTAAACCGTTAATGGTCACAATTTGATGAGAGAAAGTTTGAAAGCACCTTAACAGGGAAAATATTTGTACTGGCTTCATAAACTGTTGCAGAGCGATGACATTTAGCCAGATGACCGAATGAAGCCAGATTTAAATGTAATTAATTTCAAATGTTAGGGAGTTTTTTTGTTTGTTTGTTTGTTTGTTTATTGGCCATTGTAGCAGGGTTTAACTGCTGGTGTCTTAAGATTTAGCTGAGACTGTGTGTGTGAGATGCACTGTGGTCTGTGGGGACGTTTTTGGCTTCAGTGGGAAGGATCCGTCACACTGAAGGGACTTTTATAAGCTGGCTTTTGCTCTTGGCTTAAAATAGTAAAAGCTTGTCAGCAAAGGGAAACCCGTTAAGTTCTTACTTCAAATCTGTAAAAAATACAAATGATAATGAATCTTAAATGACGTTTTAATGAAAATGACTCATAGTTACAAATCTACTGGATAGAATTATAAATTTTATTATTTGCAGAAAAGCATTTGGAAATCTACGAATTAAGCCCCGAAGTCACCGTGTTGCCACTGATACCGGTGATTACATCCTCCTCCGTCACCGTTGGTGACAGCTAATCTGAGAATTTGAAGGCTGACTGCCGTTCAGTTCTGTGCCTCGTTTTGCTGAAGCTGGAACAGGTGTGTTTCACAGCTGTCACAACACATTTGCTTCAGTGTCACCATGACAACAAGGCCTTTGGCAGCGAGGTGGACGTGTTGCGGATTAAGTTCTGGTTAACGCTCACAGCACAGATACTGTGAAACGTGAAAGAAAATTTAACAAAATAAAGAACAAAGTTACTGATTTATTGGGGGGGGGGGATTTTTTTTTAGCATTTTTGCAAATAAATTTAAATGTTTTCTTATTTTAACATTTTCAAATTAGAAAATGAACAAAACATATAAAAACTACTCATTATCTTCCTTCAGCTCTAATTAAATGTTCTGAACATTGCGACCTTGATATTAAGACATTTAGTCAAATCATGCAAAATATAATAAAAACTGATTTTTGTTATTTTACATTGAAGAATGAAGCAGGCTATTAAAAATGTTTTTGAGTTGTTCTTTACCTTGTTTGCCAACATTTCAGCTACTTACTTTAGCCATCCTCACAGCTGTGCCAAAGTTGTCACCCTCTGCTGCCCACGCTCGCCTCGTCGATGACACAATGAGTGATCTAACGTGTAGAGTCCATCATCTCTGTTCATGCTTGCCTGTCCACGTCACTTCTTTAATTTAAGATTAAAGAAGTGATGCAAAGAAGGTTAAATGGGGAAGGAAGTGACACCATCGGCACAGCTCTGAGGATGGCTAAAGCAATCAGCCGAAACGTTAGCAAACAAGGTAAATAACTACTTTTTTCTGTGTTTTAAAAGAACCAAGCAATGCAACCACTTTAGAATGTTTTTTGTTCGTTTTTTCCAATCTCCACAATATTTCTGTAGCTATTCTATATTACAAGGCTATTAAGAGGCATGAAAAAATGCTTTAAGCTAATAAGATTTACAAATTTGCTACTGCAGCTTTAAACGAGTGGGGAAGTTGATCTTGAAGGAGGAACTGATAAACACACCAGGCAGAGGGGATGAAAACATGCCTTCTTATTTTCCACAACATTTAGAGGTCTTAGTATTGATGCAGTGATAGAAAATGTATGGAATAAAGAGTCTAATGCTGACTGTTTGACCCCATTGATTAAAAATACGACCCAAATGGACATCTCATCCAGCTGCTTCATCTAATGAAGTGTCTCATGTAGATCGAGTACACCAGTAATATCATGCATAGGCACAGTTACATTAAATAACACCATATATCACCCAGAAAATCAATAGGGTACATCCCCATGTCCGGGTAGGTGCTTGAACATGTGGGATGGTTTATTGTCGACAGTAGAGGCTGCCTGGATGGGTGGTCCTGGATCTCGTTATGTAAACGTTTCCTATATAAGATATCTGACTGGCAACCAATAGAAACTGTTTTTTTCCTAGTGTGCAATGATATCTATATACCTAGAAGTGACTCACTCTACTTATTTAAAAAAGTTTTGGTATCCAAACACAGTAAAATGTATACTGACTGCTACTCTAATCTGTACCTGGATGTGGGCTCTATGAAGACACTTCGATCCCAAAACAAATGAGAAAACACAAAAACAGAGCAGAGGACAACAGTTTAACACCAAGAGACATAAATATGATGGAAGGTTATCTCAAAATAAAAATGCTGGTGAACATATGCAAGAGTAAAAGTAAAAGAGTGAAGCTGTTTCTTCAAAATAAAACAGGAAGTGGGGCTGGTGGAAATCAAAACAAGAGTGAAACAAAAACAAGATCACCAAAACAAACAGCTGTCAAACTCAAACCCCTAAAATAGAAACTACAAGGTGAATAAATGCTTCTTCTTTTTACTGTAATTATGTCATCATTTAGACTTTTTTAATGGGGTTGTACTGCTTTCTGTACGTCAAACACAGTAAATATTAGAAGTAGGAAGCAGCTGTTTAAAAAGCTTCTGTAGCAGACGTTAGACTGCATTTTAAATATAAAAGCATAAAATATAAAACATATTATTCATTATAAATATAATGCAGAACTTTCACATTTATTTTCTGAACTTATAAAATGTTATCTTATATAGAAAAAGTGCATAAATGATCAAAAGTAAAGTTACTTTAACTGGCCTTAAATATGCTTTAAAAACCTCTAATTGACTTTCATTTGTCTGGAGTTTAAACTTACCAATAATTTCTCACAACCAAGTCCTGCAACTTCTGCTGTTTTAGTCCAGAAAATCAGCTCAGAAACTTCAGGAGAACCATTTAGGAACAAAAACTCAGTAAGTTTTTGTCTTCATCACATAAAAAAAGTGCAGACACACGAAAACACATGTAGGGTTTGGCTAGAGAGTGTGGTCGTCTACAACTCTGACCGCTGCTGGGAGGGGTTTCAGGGGGAGAAGGGGGTGTTTTCAGGCAAGGCTGGAAATGAATGATTTCTTTCTTTGTAGGAGGAGAGGGGCTGGAAGAAGGAGGGGGGAGAAAAGCAGTAATCTACTTCACATATGGGAACTTTGGCAAGAAAAGTCAATGGGAGGTTTGCAAAGCATGAAGGAAGCTGCTTGATTCTTATTCCTCAAAGATTTTTATTACCTTAACTTAAAATAGGGGAAATCTTTAGTTGTTTCCATTTAAAAATAATCCTGGTCTTTAATTCTCCACTTTTAAAACACATAAAACTAAACTTTTATACTTGCATGTGAATGGTAATCACGTACTGCAAGTTAAACACAATAGATGTTGGTGTTTTCAGTTTCAGAGCAAATGTGAGGACACGCTAGCCTAGTGAACTATACCAAATTCTTGCTTTGCAAAGTTGATTGAGTCTGGCTTGCCAGGCTAAGGACACGCTGTTTCAGTTAAGGATTTCCACCATTTTGTGGTCTTCACATTCTTTTTATGAAGGGAAAATATTTCGAAACATCTCTAAAGATTTTTGGAACCCACCAGTTCACAAACACGTTGTTCAAATGGAGACAACTAAGGTCAGTGTTGTCTGAGAACTAAAAAGGATAAAGATTACACAGCAAAACATACAACTTTTATTTTATTTACGCTGGTGCTGATCAGTTTTACCTGAATACTCCATCTCTCTGGGGACGTCCACGTCTTACTGACAGTCGAATGTTGGATTCGCTCTCCAGGCTCTCTCAAGTTCTTCTTTAAGGCTCTGCTACTTCTCTAGTTTCTCATGTTCCTTTTCCTGATGTTGCCATCACTTGGTATGACACATCAACCACAACGGCTGTCCTCTGTTGTTTGTCCACCACCACAATGTCTGGTTGGTTCTCCATCACCATTTTGTCATCCTGGATCTGAAAGTCCCACAGGCACTTTGCTTGCTTATTCTCTACCACCTTAAGGGGTGTTGACCTTAGGGCTTCCAGTCCATACTCTGCACAGATGTTTCTGTACACGATGCCAGCTATTTGGTTGTGGTCGGTCTGTCTGTCTGTCTGTCTGTCTGTCTGTCTGTCTGTCTGTCTATCTATCTATCTATCTATTGAATACTTGTTCATGAGAAATCTATTGAATACTTGTCCATGAGAAAGGTTGGCAACCCTGCATATGTTCAACATCCGAGTTGAACGCAAAATCTTTCCACAGTTGAAAAGCAGTTCCAGTCTTTCTGGTGCTTTTGGCAAGTTTAGTCCATGGGTTTTTATTTACTTAAAGTGACAGTGTGTATTTTTCCTGGCGATAGGGGGTATTAGATCCCTAGATCAATGCAAGCAAGTAGTATTTTTGTGTTGGAGTGAGACCTTACCAACGGATGCCGATTAGGGTCAAAAAGCCCTGGGAGTGCAAACTTCAGCAAAATAACAAGCACATCAGACTCTCTTTCATCACTGGCAACAAGTGTAGCAATAAATGTGTAAAATAACAAAATTGAAGAATGATGAAAGTTTTGTAACCATTTGTTACAAATGAGAAAATGTGTTCTGTCCTCATGGGCCCCCGTAGAAGGAAACATGGCATCTAATATGGCGTTGCCCAGAGACTTAGACCCGCTCCTATGTATTTTAGACCTGATTTTTATGGTTGTATGTAACGAAGCCGCAAAACTTTTTTCTACAACGGGGCTTCATTTCATTCATTTTCAGCAACATTTTGGTGGATAATTCCAGAAATTCATGGTAAAAACTATATGTTGTACCTTAAAGTAAGCCTATGAATAGAAGCAGGCAGTAGTAGAATCTGTTTTGTTGTCATGGTCTGTGTCTCGTTGTGTTCCTCTTGTGTCCCCTGGTCTTCAGCCCTCCAGATATTCCCTCTCAGGTCCTGTGTTCCTTCAGTCTCCCCACCATTATTTCCATAGGTCTATTATTCCAGTTTTGTGTGGTGTGTGTGTGTGTGTGTGTGTGTGTGTGTGTGTGTGTGTGTGTGTGTGTGTGTGTGTGTGTGTGTGTGTGTGTGCGTGTGTGTGTGTGTGTCTGTGTGTGTGTGTGTGTGTGTGTGTGTGTGTGTTTATGTCCTCCTCCAGCTAGGTGTGTGTGTGTGTGTGTGTGTGTGTGTGTGTGTGTGTGTGTGTGTTTATGTCCTCCTCCAGCTAGGTGTGTGTGTGTGTGTGTGTGTGTGTGTATGTCCTCCTCCAGCTAGGTGTGTGTGTGTGTGTGTGTGTGTGTGTGTGTGTATGTGTGTCCTTTCCCAGTTAGGTCTGGTGTCCTCTCCTGCTCCTCCTCCCTGATCAGTTATCACTTTCACCTGGTTCTCTCCCCTCACACCTGCAGCTCTTCATCCTCCCATTATGCCCCAGTGTATTTAAGCCCTGTCTTGTCTCAGTGTCTTGTCGGTCCATTGTTGTTTTGTATGTCAGCGTTTTCTGGTGCTCTGTGTGAGCCTTTTGTCTCGTCCCCAGACTTTGTGCTCTAAGTGAGCTTTCGGTGTCCTGTGCTCCAGAACTTTTGGATTTTTGGCTCGCAGCTTTTTGGATTTATTTTTGTTGTCATCCTACAAATAAAAGGATTTGTTCTTTACATCAACTCCTGCCTTGAGTCATCCTGAGTATCTGCATTTTTGGGTCCTAACCATCCCCTTAACGTGACATATACATAATTCCTTAAAAGGGAAATTCTCCGGGTTTCTGCTAATCTATATATTTGTTCAAAACCTACAAAAAAATTATTGATGCTTTCAGAAATCTGTCTTCTTGGTTCCTTCTTGTTGGTGATGAACGTGTCTGAAAATTAAATGTTCCTTTGCAGATGTTTGGCACAGCTGTTATCTCTCCGTGACTTATGAGGTTTTAGGCTACAGCTATTGAAAGAATTGTATAAAATTTGCCTTGAATGCTATCCGAGACATACAACAAGAGCAACCTTATCAGGCATTAGCGTTGCACATCTTGTGTTGATAATGCCTCACCGCCTCAATAATACACATCTTCGCTATCGGCAAAGCGCTCTTCATTACAGCTCCACTCATGCTGATGGAGTCTCATTGTTCATTAGATGATGCAGTTAAACATGTCTGTTTTGGGAACGTTGACGGTTGCCGAGCTGATTATATCCTCTTCTTTTCTTACGGATGTATTTTTTTTTCTCATTGAAGAATTCTGAAAGAGATCAAGAACTTTATGAAAATGAAAGTAAACATGTTTTCTGAAACAATGCCTTGTGTGGATTCACAGAAGGAAATTTAACGCTCAATCTTGGAAGTACAAACCCTGACAGATGCGGATGGCAGCTAATAATCCAGATGAGTTCTGCTTGAGTTATTTATGATACCAGCTGCTGTAAAATGTTTCACACGGGTGATATGCGGCAGAGGTGTGGACTCGGGTCACATGACTTGGACTCGAGTCAGACATGAGTCATTTTTTTAATGACTTGACTTAATAAAATATATAAAGACTTATGACTTGACTCGAACTTGAACACCAATGACTTGCAATTTGAATTGACTTGCATCTGTTGAGAAGATGATGACTTGATCATATTTGATATTTTAGCACAAAAGGGGCACGACATGGACAAAAATCATAAGTCATTCTTCGTTCTGGGTTTGATCTTGTTCTGCTAAATGCAGCAGCACTTTGTTTAGAATCAGTTTCAGTTGCACTTTCTGCTTGTTTCAGCAAATAAATGAAGCTTTAAGAAGCTTTATATCTGTAATTTATTTTTTATCATTGTCATGAAATTGAAGTTGGACAGATGACTTGATTATGACTTGAAAATTCAAAGTTAAGGACTTGGACTTCCACATCATTGACTTTGGACTCGACTTGGACTTGGTTGTCTTTGACTTGGACTTGACTGGAAAGACTTGTGACTTACTTGTGACTTGCAAAGCAGTGACTTGGTCACACCTCTGATATGTAGACAGGTATAGAAGAGATGTGGGTTGTAATGAACATCTGAGCATTACTTTACATCTATGAGGCTGAAGGTCACAGACGGTCAAATGTCTGATGCAGGCATGTGACATAACACATCACCACTGTTGTGCTAAAAGACATAACTAACTTTGGCCTTTAAAATGTTTTATCGTAAACATAAATAATCCTTTAAAGCAGCTTTAATCAACACAGAACTCCATCTGAACCTTTTGGGTTTGCAGCGACAGCAGATTCTAATCGGGTAACTTGAGAAGGGAATGCGGTAATAATGCTAAACCAGCACTTCTTAGTGTTATTTAAAATTTTCAAGTAGTATTATTATATTTCAAACCAGGAAGCCCAGCTTTTTATTGGAAATTCATTTTATTCCTCATTAAAAATAGATGTGTTCTTCCAATTCTTTTTCTGATGCAGTTACACTGTATGAAATAAACTGTTGAATTTAATTAACCAAGTTATCTCATAGTTCCACTAAACCTAGTTTCTTAAACGTAGAGTAATACATTGTTATATTAAAATTAAATATATATTACTTTTTACGATTACACGACTAGGATCATTGGAACAAGTTGACATTAAGTAAAATCAACATTTAATTTCTTACAGTGTAGATAGTCTCCATCGAACGTCAATTGTGTTTAGATTCACAGCATGTCTGAATTATTTTTGTTGTTTATATGTAAGAACGACTTTAAATGGAATCTTTATGAATAAAACATTTAGGGACCAACTCTTAGAATTTTATAACAAGTAGCAAATCCAAATCCAAGTTTTCAGGGAGAAAATTTGGATTTTTTTTTGACATTTTCAATTAAATAAAATAATTAGTTTGATGTAAAAAATGTGAAACAAGGATTTTTTAAAATAGTACAACAACATTAAACACTTTTTTCCCACTCAGAAAAAAAATTCATACAATTCAAGGCTTTTTGTCTCACTCTACAAAGACCAGTTGAAATAATCCATCTAACACTGTTTTATCAATAAGTCATTTTAATCTCTCAAATTCTTTACTCCATGATAAAACAACCTCATTAAAATGTATTTTTCAAATTAGAGCAAAATA